GACGTCTACATTGTAAAACCGATTTTAATTTTCCGACAATTTTGATCTTTATTGGAAATGTTGATGAGGTTGACGTCATTTTGACCGATATTTGTATAGTGGTTTAGTACTTCGGTATGGAGTTTGTAACTAGTTGAAGAAGTTGAAGGAGTCGTCCGGTATGGACAAGTATATTATATATTCTTGCTCAGCATAAAATTCTGCGTTGTTTTAGACATATACGTCCGTCCGCCCGATCACACGGTAATTCAATAAAGTTGGGTCAAACCAATGTTTTGTATTGTAGCACTTTTCCTTTCAACAAGTGAAAATTCTGCTTTTAAATGCAGTCTATGTATACCTACCACACTATTAAAACTATTTTCATTCATATACGATACTATTTCTAGGATTGCATATATTTAGGATGAACGATTTATGCAGTCTTTGAAATAAAGCAAAAATTAGTATAAAGTGGGGTTAACATAATTCTCGATTTTAAGGGTTAATTGTGTTAGTTAAGGAAAATAATTATATATTTTAATCTCATGGACTTTACCGTTAGCTTTTTGCGTTTATAGAAATTTGAAAAATCTTGCGGTTTCGGAAATATAAGGTGTCAAAAACTCAAATTTTACAAATTTCAAGAGGCGATAACTTGAGAGGGGGTGGAGATGGAAAAAAACAAAATGAACTATTTCTTAATGTTTAAAAGCTCCTAAAATTTCAAGCTTCTACAGGCTGGGGTCTAGAAGAAAAACGAAATCAAAAATTTGGAAAAAACGGATTTCAGATAACGGTAAATTTGAACGGCCATTTTGTTTTTCTAAAGTTCAACTATAGTATACCGCACTAGGGGAAGCAAGCCACTGCCTTTCTGCGTTTGCAAAATTTCAAAAATGCTTATGGTTTTATTGCAACAAATAGTTAAAAAAGGCAATTTTTTGGTTTTTGGAGGGGTATAACTTCTAGAGGCGGGGGAGATAGGTAAAAATTTTGTTGTACGGAAATAAGTTTCTAGTAATGGTGTATGTACGTATTAAATTTCAGCTTTCTATCTTCAAGAGTGTAAAAGTTTTGTAAACAAAAAAAGTGTCCACGGACGGACGGACGGACAGAGTGAAACTAATAAGCACTTTTTTCAAAAAATTTTTGGAAAAGTGCTAAAAACGAATTACGCAATGGACGCCAAACAAGTTGTTTCTTTTCTGCTAAGGATGCTTTTTTAAAAAGTTGTTTCTTTTCTGCTAAGGATGGCTGCTATTGTAATTGAACTGATTTAGGCAACGGGTTCGGATAGCTGCCATTGAACTCAAAGAGTTTTTTTTAATATTTTAAAAACCAAAAGAGATATTAGTGTAAAATTTAGTAGAGGTGTGTCCAATTACATTTTACATTGTTCTAAAAATTTTATTGGAATGGCTGCACTGGTTTGGGTAGCTGTCATATAACTCCAAATGCTAATTCTTTATATTCGAAAAAGTAATAAAGCTAGATTCATGAAACTTGGCAGTCATGTGTTCAATTTTATGCCACATATATCTATGAAATTTGGTTGGAATGATTTGACAGGTTCGGGTAGCAATTAATTATTAAGTATAATAAAATTAAATTAAACAGTCGTGTGTCCAAGTCGTGTGCGTGGCTTGACAGGTTCGAGTACTTGCAACAATGAAAGCTAATTCTAGATAATTCAAAAAAAAAAATTTTTAAATTCAGATTGTCAAAGTGTGGTGTATAATTGGGTCGATTTATATCGACTAAAACGGGTTTACTTGTTATAGCTTGAAATTGATATGGCTGGTCGTATTTTTATTGTAGCATATCAAGTATTTTTCCTTATATAGACGCATACAAAAATGGCTTTGGGTGTAAAACGGATCTGCCTCTATTGAAAGACATGCGAACATAAATGACCTGTAGTAAGTCTAATAAATGTAATTAATGTAATTAACATTGAAAACGAAAATTCTCTAAAGGTTTATGATCGAGCAACCATTTAGTAATAGGTCTGTAATAAGTAATTTGAATGTAAGACATCGAATAATAATGCGGTGATCAATTATCTCTCAATAACATCAACTACCTCTGAATTCCTTCAACATTTAAAACTAGCTGAAGAATTAGTGTCAACAAAGTCGACATTCATATTATCCTCAAAGAACTAGATCACTATCTGTAAAAGCGCCAGCAAAAAGGACAAACGAATACATATATTAAAAATATCATTAGGCTCAAAAGCAGAAATGTAATTGTATAGTGATTTGAAAAATATAACCGGTTTCAATTATTCAATTAGATGGAAATTTTGTTTTTATTGTACTGGATTATTGCTGGATCACGCAAACCTAATTTTAAATCGCATCTAAATATCACAACAAAGAAATTATTATCATTTCAAATTTGTTATAAGGTGAAGATCAATTTTAGAGCAAACGTTTCAGGCGGCATCATATCGTGTGGCTGATATCATAGCGTGTGGTTTACGTTTTTTGCTTTAAATGGTTTGCGCTGGTATGATCCTCATAGGGTCGCTCCTTAAATAGATTGTTATTAATCGATTCAGCAACATTGCGTTCACCTAAGGGGATTTCGGATATTATATACATTCACCAACTATATAGCTACTCTGGATATTGTTTCTTCGCCGTTACTTGAAGAAATTTCTTTAAGTGAAAATATCAGAAACTTACAAAATATTTTTTAATTTATGATATGTTAATTTTTCTTTTAATCAATTTTTATTTTGAAATTAAAAATTTTAATTCGAAATTTACATTATTGTAAATTAAATTATATACCACCCATACGTTTTTCTTCTTCAGTTATTTAAAAAATGATTTTATGCTTGCGCTATCACCATAACGCTTAATATTCAATTAAAATTTTAAACGTTAATTTTATATTAACAATTTTCGTTAAAACACATATATTTTAACACCAGAGGAATTTATATTTAATACTTTTTACTTTCCCATATTTAGTATGAACCTATTAATATTCACATCCTGCTGGATGGCTCCTAAAATAATATAATCATATCATATTAATTAAATAAAATTTATACTAGATTAAAATAAAATTTACGTTATAATGTCACCAGTTCCATCTTCTCGGCATTCAATTTCTTGACATATAAATTGTGGATGCTTGTGACGTCCTGGTTCAACAACCAAATCTTTGCTAATATAACATTTTCCAGGATAATCTACATAGAGTTTAGAAAATATTTGTGTATTACGTTTTTTTTAAATATTGTTAATAATTTGAGAATTTACGTGATTAAAAATTTGGTACCTGGGTGTGAAAAATTTGTAGTATAAAAATGACTTCCAAAAATCGTTGCTATTGAAAAATTCAAAATAAATAATATGCTAAAAGTTAGTACAGATTTCATGATTTTCTTCTTCTTATCAGATATTTTGTAGAAATTATTTTCTTTTTTTAGAAATGAGTTATGCTTTCGTTTGTAATGGACAAGTCACATTGATTAATCTTCAATAACTAAATTAAGTCGTTCATCGATCTTTGCTTATAATTAAAAACAAAAAAAATAAACTTCATGATAAGGACAAAAATGACTTATAAATAAATACAGGGTCCATAAGAAATAACACTTCGAAATATAATTTAGAAAAACTGTCAAATTTTATTTTAACAAAAAATTAATCGAAGTAAAAATTACAATGTAAATGATCAAAGTGTTCACCACGCGTTTACATTTGATATTATTTACCTCAATTCTGACTTATTTGGCAATTAAAATTTTATTATTGAATATCATAACTCTTAAATATGTTTGTGTATATATTAAAATTTTTATAATGTGGCAGCAAGCTTACAGGTGAAATAGTAAAAATACTGTTTGAAATCTCTTAACAGATCTTTTTTTAGGTTGCAATAAAAGAGAGAGCAAAAGGTTACTACTGTTAAGTCTGTAAATAATGTATACAAATCAAACGATCATTAAATATTCTTTCTTTTATTAAAAATTTACCAAAAGTCACGTACAGAAAAAAGTTGTTTTTGACAGACCTTGTACAAAATATACATAAAACTTTTAAGAATACAATAACATTAAATATAGTGCAGTGGAAAGAAGTACAACTACAGCAATATTACATAAGTAATAACACATACATAATGAATATATTTACGTACATACACAAACATACACGGGGTTTAGCCATAAATATTTAAATTGTAAATTTTTGCTAATATTTTTTGAAATTTTTTTCGAAGACTAGATTAGGTATAGCAATTGTTTTCATATAGTGAAAATTAAATAAGTAAAAAAAAGTTTATTATATTTTATTGAATACTCATGAGATAAACAACGCGAGTGATTTCGTATAATAAGAGCGTTCTTACAGACGCTAATCGATGCACGAATAAGGAAACATAATTGAGGACATGCGTTAGACTGGTTGGACCAAATTATAATCATATAATTATGCATACGAAATTTGATAGCGAAACAGTTAAAGGGCAAAAAATTTTTTAAACTAATTTCGATATGTAAAGCATTTTACATATCAAAATTAGTTTATATTGCTACGAATCGGGCTCAATGACTTCAACAATTTCCCGTCGATGCTATTGGATATTGATTATTGATATTAAAACGATAAGAATATTTGAATAAGAACTTTACGAATTTACGTGCCTTATCATAAACTTATATAAAGAATTGTTTATTTGAAAATTTCTTTTAAATCTCTCAAATAATTTTAGTGTTATACTTGTTTCTTTCATAACTCTGTTTTTAACAATATAAAAGTTGTGATCTCACTGGCTTAAATTCTTTAAGTTAGTTTGTTTTAAAAGAAAATAATATAGTTAATTTGAAATATTATTTATTTGCTATTTATTAGATATACAAAGTAATAGAATGCGTTTTTATAAAAAAAAAATGTGCAATATAATATTAGCGATCATTAATAATATAATTTATACTCGTATTTGTACTTCAAAAAAGAAAAATGTTTACTCTATATGAGGTCTTTCAAATCATAATTTATGTAAGACCATATAATTTGTGCGTTAAGTAGTGAACTGTTAATATGTGTGTTTTGCAACCTGTTTTAAAGACTTCTTCACACTTTATGACCTTTTACAGTTAAATGTTGGACAACAATCTGGATATTGTTTTCTTAAATTTCCATCAACTTTTGTACAACCGCTGCCGGCTTGATTGAGTGGGCATCTAAAAAAGTAAGAATTTAAAAAAATAAAATGTTATTAAATTCAAATATGAATTGTTAGTATTCAAATTATTTGACCTTGTGATGTGATTATTTGACCTTGTGATGAAATTTTTGGCAAACGACCATTATATGCAAAAAAAATTTAGAGGAAAACATATGGGTAAGGTGTTCGTTTTCTATTTCATATGAAAATTAATAATATTTTGAGGTTCCCACACATCTTTGTGTTAAAATTAATCACAATGAGGAGCTCATTATTAAGTCAGTTAGGAGATCTTAGTGAATATTATAAAATATAAATTATAGTGATTTTAAATATACATGATCATATATAGTACATGTACACCGAAAGGATGAAATTGGTTTGATTTATCATGAAAAAGATGAGAAGATGTAACTTGAATCACTTTGTTGTCACTTAGATTTTACGTATATATTGTTTTAGTATATTATCTTACGTTATTGCTTGTTTGACTCCATTATCTTTGCATTCGTATTTGACACATTGACCAACTGGTCGATATTCTGTACCAACATCCCAATAATGATTTGTGTTTTTGTCATGGCATTTTGGTTCTGAAAAAATAATAAAATTTTAAATATTTTACATTATAGCTTCAAAATTTTTAGTTTTTGTAAACGAAAATCCTTCACTTCAGAATCAGAACTGAATACTTTTTCAGATTTATTTTCATTAATTATGGAATCTTCTATAAAGTAATTAAAAAGAAATGCCTTTTTGGTTTTATCTTCTATTGCAATAATAATTTTTGAATTACACGCCATTTGTATTTTTATATAAAAAACATAATAATTTATTTTCTTTTGAATTTTAGAATCGCCAACTGACACTATAAACTAGAGTTCTTTTGTGAATTACAAAACAAAAATACCCTATATGGTTATGTGGTCTTGCTTTTCTGTTTTACGTTTTTTATAGTTACAGTGACAACAAATATTTAAAAACAAACAGGAATGTTGCCATATCCAAATAAATTTATATATAAATCAAAGCCAATCACGAACGTCGCGTAAAAACACATTACGACTTCCGGAATTAAAAGTATTTATAGCTGAGTGTAAATTACTATATCGAAGGCTAAAAAACCTTGGTACAGAACTATTCTACAAGTATATGAACAAATTTTCTGTTTTATTTTGTTATGTATATATTAAAGTATAATAGCAATAAACTAGCGACTCTGCATTTTGAATTATGTCATTGTTCTGGAAAATGTGTGATATGTCCAAACAACCGTGTTGTCAACTTACGAATGTTATGCAATCATGAAACATATTTATACGTTACTTTCTTTATTACATTATTATTATTCATTTTCTTTAACACTTTGCATTTTAATTAACAATCCTATAATTATTTTCAATTATATGTCTAAAATATATATATATATATATATATGTTTTCAAGACGAATAGTACTTTATAAAATTTATATTTCTAAATTTATAAAAAAAGAAATCATACTCGTCGCTGCTGCCTCAGTAAATGATACGCACGTTGTAAATATCAAAACGCAACAAAAATAAATTAAAAATTTCATCTTTACTTGTAGATTGATTCCGTTTTACTAAATATTATTTATTTTAATTTGTAAGGAAATGTTTTCAAAACAAATATTATTTAATTAATTATACGTATTTGTGGTGTTTTATTTAAAATTTTCAGTTAAATATTTATATTATATGTAAAAAATAACTTGATAACCTATGCTTGATACTACATAAGGGTTATCTATATAATTTTATTATTGTAAATGGACAAAAATTTGAATTACTCATTGGATCGTATAGCATGAAGAAAATCATTAAATAAATTTTTATATATTCTAAATTGATTGTGCTATTTAATTTAACTTTAGGTTGACTTTTGGTAATTATTGTTATTTTACAAACAATTGAGAAAATTACAAAGATATCTGGTGTAATACAATGTGGACAATAAAATACAATATGTGTAATGTGAGGTACTACTAACTTGTAATATTTCATTGTATAGTTTATAGACGCTGGTGTAGTTGGAAGCGTTGTACATTTCAAGTGTCATATCCCCTTAAATGGAAAGTGATTGTTATTTGAACACAATCATATATATTGAGGTAAAGAACGCTTACGATAAGAAAAAATTATTTCATCAAAATTTTAATGCCTAAATATATGCATTTTCTCGTGTTAGAAAAATATAAGAAATGATAATTAAAGTGGTAGCATATTCTGTAATGGTAACTGTATTAGAGGCCTATACTTCTTCAATTGATTCTTGTGTGTTATGTTTTGCCATTATGCGATATTGATATGCGAATCAATTTATAATTAAAGCATTTTTAATATTTTGTTCTTAGGAGTTCACTAATTTTTAAATATAAGAATTATTAAGATAAGAATTTTTTTTATTTAAAACAAATTTTAGTACAAAATTCCGCGATATAGTTTTAATTTGTATTTTAAATTAAGAAAAGTTTTAAATAAATATTTTTTGAGATTTCGTAATATATACTTAAAAAATTATTTAAAGAAATTCAATAAAAAAAAAATAATTACAAATTCAAATTATTGCATAATAGCAATATCGCTTGAACTTGATTACAAAATATTGAATTCACCTTCAAAACGAAAGCGAGATCTTCGCTTACTTTGCATTCAATTATACATAGTATGTGCAATATAAATATATACATACATACAACATTTTGACGTAATATCTATAGTTACTTTTATCCGGGTTAAATATTTTTCATTTAAATATTAAAATGAAATCATCAATGGAATCTACTTTTTACAATATTTTTAATGGTACCTTCCTCGATAAAATATCTTATATATTCATGAGAAATTCATTTTTGCTTTTATCATTTCATGCTTGAAAATTTTTTAAGTAACACTCAGAAAAATATTAAACATTATTTTATCTAATTATAAGAAAAAATGTAGATTATTTTTAGGCATTATCAGAGACAATTCAACACATTTTTCGATTACTTTTTGTGGTGGTATCGAAAATAAATTGTCTATGTTGATTTCTCAACAACAGTTGAATCAATTAATATCAGTATTTTTCGCGTTATTCGTACATAAGGGCGGGTATTGTTCAGAAAAGGTCTTTGTACTAAAATAGACGTAATAGAATGACCGTTTTTAAAAAAATTCTTGTCGAATATTAATGCAATTCATAGATTTTTCGACAAATAAACAAAATGGGATGCAATCAGAACATAACCGATGAGTACTGTCATAATTTTTTAATAAATTCACACTAGTATTCTTGCTTCTTTTAATTCTTCTCCTAATTTCGGGTAGTGACAGGCTGCACTTCTTTATGCAAAGCTGCTTTTTTTTCGGGAGTTGATTTCGCCAGATCTACTTAATTTTAACTTTGTAACTTTTGAATTGTCTTAATTTTTTTACTTTGTCTTAACTTTGTAACTAAGTTAATAAACGACGCATATTGATTTTATTCTTGTTCAAAAGCATTATTCTAAATTAACTCTATAGAACAAAGATATCGTCCGCCTCTACTCAATTATCTGCTAATGGTCTCTTATTATTCTTGAACTTTTAAGCATCCCCATTTTTATGAACATCATTGTATTTCGGAATAGTGATAAACGTCCAGTTGTTTTTAACTGACAACTGATAAATTCATTATATCCTAATAAATTCATAGTATCTCCACTCATTGCAATGCAGTCGGTCAGATTTTACTAAAATTAATTTTTTTCGTTATTTCTTTCAACTTCATTCTTCTACCGTATAATTAGAAACACACCCTACATGTACCTGCTCTTATTGAAATACAGGTTAAAAGTTAAAAACTTTATCAGCACAAACTAAAATTACGATTTTTAACTTGAGTGTATTTTTCTAAAAAAAAAATTGTTTAAAGTTTTTTTTTTGCTCAATAAAACAGTGAAGAAAATAAATACGTTTGCGAGAGTAACTGAAAAAGCAGTTACATGAAAATCGTCATTTGTTCCACACTAGAATTCAAATTCTTATATTAAAATTAAAATTTTTATTTAAAACTTAATTATTACCAAATTGAAATTCTAATATTTTTTATGGAATAACGAAAAATTTAGTGATCAGCGTTTGAAATTTTAGGGAATCACAATCAGTCACGTAACTACTTAATCAAAGAATCAATTACATAACAGCATCCAAATATGTTGTTTATACATAAATTGAGCATTTATTTTATTATTAATTCTCTTTTCCTCATTGGATTTATTCAAGCTTATGAGCAATATATTGGTAACGCGAGACATGATGGTTAGTATAACAGAAACAAAAATCAAGTTACTTTTTTATATCTGATTTTATTAATAAAAATATTATTACATATGTACATATGTGCGTATATAAAACTTTAGATTATCCTAACAAATGCTATCATCAGGATACTGGAAAAGCAATGGAATTTGGTGAAGTTTGGAGACCGACAAATAGAAAATATCACTGCGAAAAATTAACATGTAGAGATGATTACGTAATTATGATTAACAGGTATACAAATTTTTTTATTATGGTTTCCATATGTGTTTATACTTATATATTTTCATTTTACTTTTGTAATATTAAAATGTTAATATAGCTGTCCTAGATATCAAGTAACAGAGAACTGTAAAGTCATATCAAATGATTACACTCAACCATATCCAAAATGTTGTCCATCACTTGCATGTCGTGATCGAAATGGAAATTTATCAGTACGACCCACACATACTGAATATGAAGATATTAATAACATTTTAGTTTAGAATTTAGAGCAAAAAATTTATAAGTCAAAAAATTTTACAAATTAAAAAAAATTGTTAATATTCTTTGTTAATTTAATTTATATTCTTTATCGTGGTTATTCTTAATTTATAAAAATGTTATGTGCGAAGCTATACTATGTACTGAAAAGCACAACAGAATGCTATCGAAACAGTTTCCATTTCAGAACGTTTCTGTTAAAGTGAAGTAGTCGGAAAGCGTGTAAAACGATAAACGCCGTAATTCATAATCTTTTATAATTAGACAGCATAAGGAGCAATTTTTTTAAAGTACTAAAGCATTAGTTTAAGCATTATGCCAATCACGTTAATCACTTTCATTTGCAAATGACAGTTTTGTGCACTTATTTTTAAAAATAATCCTTACAAGTTCAAAAATTTATAATCAAAACTTCAATATAATCAAGCGTTTGCAATCATAATATGGAATATAAGACGCTAGCGTCAAAAATTATAGAGATTGGGATTCATGTTTACAAATGACGTCCTGAAAAGTGCCATTGGTTTTACCAGTGTTTTGTGTATCAATGTTTTCTTCCAATCTCAAATATAAACTTGTACAATAAACTTTTAATTTCTTTATTTATATTTGGCATTATATTATTATATTTGTCATAAAAAGAATTAGATTGAAAAACCGACGCTTTCGTAATTTCAACATTTTTGCTGAAAAGGACAAGAAACAATATGCTTTGTATATGAAAGGTGATTAAGACGAAGCATGGATTAGAAATTTGCTGTGCAACATTATAAAAACCAATTCGCAACTATACAGTCTTCGAGTGAACATTGATTTGGATTTATAAGAGCATAAGAATTTTGTTTCTCTATTCATGATCTTTTATTATACAATTAAACTATGTAGACTTTAAAGTAAGTATGCACATAAATGTGGAATAGAAAAAAAAGACAGAAATCAGAAACATTTTAGATTTGGTAAGCAATTAAGAAGTAAATTATTGGAATTATTTATGTTTCTACTTTATTTTTATTGTCATTTTTGTAAAAATTTTCTTTGTCCTCATCTTAATGTCAGATAGAGACAAACCGAGAAGAATATTTTCGCAATATTCTTTATCAAGGTTAATAACAGTCCATATTTTAATATTTATTTGTGTAGTCAATAGTGATAAACGTTCATATATAGAAATTTAATACAAGTGCATAAAAAATAGTTCAGATTTTTTTTATTATGATTATTGTAGGGTATTAAAAATTGCCCTCGAATCAGTATAGAAAAGTTTTTTATTTGTGTACTTGCTGGTTTTATTTTGCCGGACAAAAAAGATGTTAAAAATTTTAATAAAATTATTATTTTTTATTTTACTAAAGAAGGCGTTGGCCGGTGACTCTGAAAACATTTATATTTATCAAGGTAGAATCATAGAGTAAAATTTTTAACCAAAAGATTAATTTTGAAAATTTTTAGAAGAAGAAGTTACTAAATGCCTAGTGGATGATGTTCATTTTGAGCCGGGAATATATAAGAAACCATTTCCAAATAAATGCATGTATATATATTGTACGCCTGATGGTATTGCAACTATTGCAACGTAAATTATTTAATTGTTACATTTTTTACAATTTTAAAATTAATTAGTTATTTTTATTTTTGTAGTTGTCCACAACATGTGAACCCGCCAAAAGATTGTGAACACGGTCAATATTTATATCCTAATGGAGACTATCCGAAATGTTGCCGTAAGGAAATTATATGTAAAGAAGATATTTAAAAATAAAGATTTAAACAGTTAATTATTTTAATTTAAAATAATACTTAGCTACTTAGTTCTGAATTGGACTGGAAATTTTGCTATATAAATATATACATACATAATATCATTTACTTCTTTTTAAAAATCCGTAACGGTAACACAAACCTTTATATATGTATGGTATACGTATATGCGATATCCAAAATTGATTTTACTCTTGAAAAAGTAACATTCAAAACTGCAAAAAGTAATATCAAGTTCCTTGATATCATTTTGCAGTTTTGAAAATTTTTACTATCAAAAATTCTTTAAATTGACTTAAACCAGGTACAGGCAATAAAGTTTTTTTCTGAAGTTGAATGATCATAGAATAAAGGGATAAATTCCAAAACTGTAGCCAGTTTATAAATGATAAAAATCTGCAAACTAAATTTTCTCATTTTCCTTACAAAATTATTTTTATTCATTTTTTTTTTTAAGAAAAAATTTTTGAAATTTTAAAACAAAATTTGGAGTATTTTCTTCTGTATTTAACTTTTTTAAAGTACATGCGATTTTGAAGTTTTTTAATTATTTTAATTAGTAAAAATCAAAAATGTTGGTTTACAATCAGTCAGGCGTTTTTTTGCGTTAAGTCTCTCATTTTCAGAATTTAAGTTAACAGTTATCAAGCTCCTATTTTAATTTTAACTTGAAATGTAATACTTTGCTTCTTTCCCTCTCCTTCTCGAGTTATGAGACCTTAGAGCTCGTTATTCTAAAAAGCTCAAGCTTTTAACATTTTTCTATGACAGCTATAGGAAAATATGGCTGTTAGAGTCAATGTGATGAACTCATTTTAGAAGCTTATGAGATTTTCCTTCTTCTGGGATGACATTAATAACACTTTTTTTAATATTAACTACAAGCCCAAAATCTAAAAACCAAAAGTTTTAAAAACCCAAAAATCATTTGGGTTTTTAAAACTTTTTCTTTTAAAAATTTTTAAACTGGGGCCGCACGAATTAAAACAGGTTAAAATGCCTTCTAGCAGGTGGATGATAAGAACAGTTTTTGAATTGAAATCAATGAATCAAATTTTCTTATTTTCTTAGTAAATTATTTTTGTAAATTTTTTAAGAAAAGAATTTGAAATTTTATAACGAAATTCGGAATGTTTTTTAATATTTTTAATTTCTTCGGAAGCACTTGATGATCGATAAAAGTCAAAAAAGTTTGTTCATAATCAGCCTGTTTTCTAGTATTGAATCTCTAACTAAAGATTTAAAATAGATTCTCTTTTATTGGAATTCATCAAACAACATTTATGTCACTTTATTTTTCTTTATTGTATTTTAGAAAATTGAAAAGTTCAGTACAATATTTTCGTAATCCAGCAATATAAATATAAGCCGTTGCCAAGCTTCCACTTTTCAATTTCTATTTTAAGAATTTTAAACAATATTTAATGCTATAGACATTTACATATCTTAGTTATCTTTTCAGCACAAATTTATTGACCAGGTGGTGGTGGTGGTGGTCTTGGAGGTAACGGAGCACTCCTAAAATATAAATGCAATTGTATTAAATTTTTTTTTTAAATTTTAAATAAAATAAATTACGCAATGTAAGTGCCTTTTCCATTTTCTTCACAAGTAAAACTAACAAGTTCACCTAATTGATGTTTTCCAGGTTCGTAAACTTTACCATCAAATACACATTTTCCAGGATGAGCTGAAAAACATTAAAAAAGAAAAAAATTAGATTGCATTGATTAAGATTAATTTTGCTATCAAAATTAAAAATTTTTTTAAGCCTTTTCGAGGTTTCCATACAGAAAAATTTGGTAAAGTGCAATTTGGAAAAGTGCACAAATTATTAGCCATTTTTATCACTATTTTCTCATTGTTAAAGAGAAATTTAAAAATATGAAAATAAAAGCAATGCCACAAAACCTCATTAGAGCGTAATTTGGAGAATCCGTGTTAAATTTGGCTGCTCTTAAAGTAAACGAATTTACTGGTTTCAAAAGTTGCGTGCAATATTTTAATTTTTATAACATGTAAAATAAAATTTTTGAGTTTTTCTAGCTTATAAGTTATTATGTTCTTCATTTTATTAAAAATTTATTTTTACATTTAAAACAAAATTTTTTAAAAATTAATTTTGTTTAAGCTGATGTAATCAAGAACTTTAGTGGAACAAAGAACGTTACCACATCTTTGAACAATAATTGTGGAAATTAAATTTTTCCTGCATTTAACTCTAAAGTGATTAATTATATTTTTATTAATTGTTAACTTTCACATTAATAAATAGATATTACATAAAATAAATTAGTGTTATCTATAAGTATAATGTACATTAATTACTTGGACAAACTCAAAACATTATAGGTTTTTCTAAGATGCACAATCATCTCTAAAATTTCGTTGCAACTTTTTTATAAAATATTGGTGTCAGTGTATAATTGTTGCAAGTTGACATAGATTAATAGTATAGTTTTTTTAGTGTAATTAAGGTAAGTGAATTGATAAATTGATAAATTATAAAGGTAAGTATAGTTATTTAAAGAAATTAGTCACGTTATTAAAGTAATTAAGGTAACTAATAATTAACTACATTTTAGAATTTCTTCTATTGCATTGCAAGTACATATGTGTATGTACGCCAGCTGAATACAAACATAGAGTAATTTATAGCGTGATCGTGCATCTCACTATTTTACTCGTCAAGTAAGAAAAAGGTGAATAATTATCATATATTTGTATAAAGTAATTTTCGAGTGAGAAAAATTATTCGGTATTACGTATCTATTTCTTTTTACCGACCATACATAGTTTTCGGTGAGAAGACACTTCTCTATCGTAGTGAAGTGTAAACAAACTATTTTTAGCAACCATCTATTTTAGTCGGTCTGTCGGTCTGCAACTGGACGTTTACTACTGATCAAATACACATTTTTACGTATATAAAGATAAATAATCAACCGATTTCATTGAAATTTAGTATTTATATTGGAGGTGTCAAAACAATGAATCTATAAATTTTTGGAAAGATCAGGGCTCGGAAACTGATCTGGGGCTGACTTTACATTTTTTAATATTTGAGTTCTGGTTGATACCAGAAGTTCATAACGAACTTTTCGTATGATTCAGACGGCACAAAATGAAACTCTTTCTCTGAAATACTTTTCTCTAGATCTTTTGAAATACTTTTATTAATCTAGACAATATACATTTTATTTTTGAGGGTGAGGCGTTTAGTCGATAATTTGAGAAAAAATTCAAAAATTCAATTAAAAAAATGAGTAATTTTTTTGGAAATTATTAAATTTATTATTTTTATTAACAATTAATTGAATTCTTTTGCTCTTGAAATTCTTAGTTTTTGATAAAAAATTTTCGGATACAAGACCCTCAGCAACTACTTAGATATCACACATACATTAAACACTATTTCTATAATAACGATGAACTAAGCTATACTTTGCTATGACTTTAACGTGTTTTGGTTTATTCAAATATTCAATCCATGAAACAATTTTAAATCGAATAAAACTAAGAGATAATTTTGATTGAGTAACAATAAATAAAATTTTGCTATGTAATCATGGAATTAACAGCAACAGCAGGATTTATTGAGTTCCGTTAAAATTAAAGACTGTTTTTGTATTTTAAACGTTTTTTTCAAATAATTCAGTGTTGTCGGTAGTAGGTGACAAAATTTATTAAATTCGTGTTTATCAAATACTCAAATTAATATACAAGCTTTGAAGTCACAAAAATATTTCATTAAATTCCGCACTACTTTTATTAAAAGCAGTTAATCTAAGTTATACAAAATTAAATTATATCACTGTTTCTCACCTGGATCTGAATAATCTTTAGTAAATACTGTACTAGAGAATGTAATCGCTAGTAAAGCTGATAAAAAAATTAAAATTGTAAAACTTTTCATTTTTAAAAAATTTATAGTTAACGACTGTAGTTCCAATATTTAACTAATCGCTTTTATTTAAAAGCATCTTAAATTTTGTTTAAAAAAAATTTATTTGTTCACTATATTTTTCGCATATACCTGAGTGGGGATGTTTATAATGTGATTTTAAATAAATGCGGTTTTAAGAAAGTATTAAAGCAAATATTATTAAAATTGGACAAGTTTTGATTTTTCATTATCATACATTGTTTATTTTATTATGATTCGGTGCCTCAAAGTGAAGATGACATAAATCAATTTTTATGGTATGAGAATGAGATAAGCTCATATTTAGTTTTTTTTGAATAAAATCTTGTATTCTGGTAACATCCCATTTTACAATAGCAATTTTATGGAAATTTTGAGCAAATTTTTTATGAGGAAAAGGATTTTTTCTCACTTAAGCAATACAATAATTACCTGGTCTCAACGTTATCACCCATCTGCTTTTATTCCTCTTGGATTTTAAATTAGTTTTTCTTTCTACTTCATCATCTCCTTCCAAGAATGAAATAAAATCACACAGGCAAATATAAATGCTATATGAACTGTTATATTTAAAAGGTAATGTGTGTAAAAAACTGATTGTCATGACATAAAAATTGGGCTTGGAGAGAAATTCTTTATAAAGATATATCCAAACAGTAAAATTTGTCAAAATTCATAATTATTGTTGTAAACTTTCCTATAATGCGCAATTACATATGAATGAGTGTAAGAGTTTATGATGGACTAGCATGTATATACGATAACGGTCCCTAAATTATTATTTAAAAATATTTTTCTGCAGTATTCCATAAAAATTTTAATATACAGTAATTATATTTAAGTTGTGAATTTCATAATAAAATTAACCAGAAAGAGAGTTTTTTTTATTTTATTACCACATTTGACAGGTTTGTAGACATACAAAAAAAATCTGATGTGATCAGCATATAACCGACCGCATTGTGTATTGTCTAGTTAAATGAAAGTGTTACAGAATATTATAAAAATGTCTGTTAAATACTTCTTTCCAATTTTTAGGACATTAGTAATTAATGCTCACCAGTTAGTTTCGGTAACAACCAGAACTCAAATATCAAATTTCAAGAAATTTCATCAATTTGTTCTGTAGATATGGTGAAAAATGTAAAATCGGCCCGCAAATCAGTTCTCGAGCCCTGATCTTTCCAAAAAAGTTATATGTTCATTGCTTTAATATGAGGAATTCATATATTAAATTTCAATGAAATCGGTTGATTATTTCTCTTTATACACACAAAAGTGTATATTTGGCCCGTAGTAAACGTCTAGTTGCCGATGCCTGATTTCTTCCAAAACATACGAATTTTTGCGGATGGTCGAGCTGAGCTTATATATAAAATTTCAAGTAAATCGGTTGAATACTTTCTTCAAAATGTTCAAAAATGTAAAACAGGCCCGCTAAAAAGTGCAGTTCCCGAGGCCTGATATATACCAAAAGCTGATCGATCCGTGCCATGGTGGAAACAAACTTACATATAAAATTTCATCAAAATCGGTTCAGCCGAACTTGAGATACACGCGTGCACACACAGACCGACAGACCGACAGACGGACAGACCGACAGACCGACAGGTTGCTAAAAATAGTTTATTTACACTTCCCTACTATGGAGAAGTACGTTCCCACCGAAAACTCGATATGCAAAATTTGTTGCCATCACATAACCTACCTATTGTTTACACAATACGGTCGGTAAAAATTATCCATCCATGCATTTTAATGATTGAAGGCTACGAAATAAGGTGTGTTTTTTAAGGATTTCATATTATTGTTATTTATATAAGAGACACAAGTATTTTTTTCAGGTTTAAAATTAACAATTTAAGAAAATTTTTGAAAATTAAAAGATTACTTGTGTGAAAGTTGTTGAATAGAATGAACACAACACATCCTTGCTTTTAGTTTCCTTTGAGCATTAAAGGGTTCCTTAGATTGGTATAGGCCTTAATGGAAATGTGTGTTAATTTTGGTTTTTCTAAAACTGGCTCCACAGTTGCATGATTCATAATGTATGTTTGTGTCTAATAATTTATTTTTGAAAGATATTGTGCTCCACTAAAAATGCAACTATATTGAAAAAATAATCAGCAAAAGAAGTAATAATCCTACAATCCGCAATATTAATCAGTCATTTTTGACATTGTTCTATGTATTTGATGTATGAGCAAAAACTCATTGAAGCAGATCCTTTTGTAAATATCTTATTAACTCAGAATTAAGAAATTCATCATCTATTCGCAATGATAGATTTATATTCGTAAAAAAAAAGTGTACATATGCTTTTCGGAGAAAATTCTAGACTAAATTAATTTTCAAGCTAAAAATTCACTTAATATAGTATTATATACAAAATTGTAAGGGAGATAAAGTATTTTTAATCATAGTTTTTTTTTGCAGTAAAATTACTTTAAACTGGTCAAACATGTTTCATTTATGAAAACAAAAACTTAGTTCAAGTTCATGGTCATCAAATGCTAATAAGTACCATATGCTAAACTGCTTTCTTTTATTTTGTGTAAAATAATTTGATGCTCATTAGAAATCCATCGATATTTTTAAATACATACATACATATACATGTACATACTTATGTACAATTTAAAAGCTCTATGAATTATATATAAGCAAAGCTGGTGATATACGAAGTAATATTGCGATTGGTGAAGAAAAACTCCATATTTTACAAGTAATCTAAAAATGATCGTAATTCAGAGTAGTCAAGCACTTTGCCAAAGTTTTTTTTTGAACACTAAACTCCACATTAAAATTAATAATTTCCAAAAATTATGAAAATTAAAATTTCATATGAATGTTTTATAATTTGCTTATACGATAAAAGTAGTAATTCCTGCTTTACAAGTGCTCTGATATAATTCCATAAATTATGCAAAATTATACTTTTATATTTTTCAAATTTAAACAATTTCTATTGTTTTAGAAATTCAAAACAATAAAATGAATCTTTAAAAAATTCGTGAAAAAACAAACTAAAAAATTCAATCAAGAAATGGTTTGAAAATACTTATAATTAAGGACAGTAGATAGGCGGCCAAAAAATATGTCGATTTCCAAAAAAATATAATTAAAAATAATTTTATGGCATTAATCCATGTACATAAATTACAAGCTTATTCTCCAGAAATTTAGAGTACCTTTTACCATCATATATTCGGACTCGTATATGGGCAGAGATGGCGTTCGTCTGAAGATGAAATTGAGACACCGGACTTCGTAAATAGGCAATGTGGCAGAATTTTCGCCAAAAATAGCTCTTTTGAACTACTTCGCTAAATTAAGGGGCCGAACTTGTTAAAATAGCCGATTTTGAAATAGAAATTTATGATATTCTTTACTAACTAATACATATTAAGGCATATGAATATATCATAATTATTGCATACTTTCAGGATGAGGAGAAAATTAATATGTTCAAATAATAAAATGTTGAAATTGTACAATCGGCCAATATTCAATTACTATATATTCTGATAAGAAAACATTTACCATCACTCATTTGTTTTTATAAAAATTTCGTAAAGCTTTTAGAGTTTCAATGAGTTGCCAAAAATTAAATTTGTTAGGCGATACTGGGGAGAAGGGAATTCGGTAAAATTAAAAACTTACACAGAATGTAAAAAATTTATCAAAAATATCTACAACCCCTTATAAATATGTACATGTGTATATGTGCATAATTTAAAAACAATACAATCTATTTTAAGCATTTAGAAACTGTTTTTATAAAAAAATTTTTAGTACAAGGTGAACCCGTACAAACCCGATTTTTTTACTTAAAAATGTATTATTGAATATGTTATGCAATTTATTTAAGAAAATATATATATATATAAGATAAATTTTAAAATATTTGAGACAAGCATTCGAAAGCAGACATAGACATTGAGACTCGGAAACAATTTTTGCATCAGCTGCTCTTGGCTTATTATAATTTCAAAATTTGATCTTATATTGCTATTCTCATAACAGTCTTTTGGAACACAATCTCTAATTGGTTCTTAAATAAACAATGAACTAAAATAACTTTTAAAATATTGTTAATTTTGGAAGACGGAATGAAGAGTGACAAAAAAACAATATGATGGTACCAACAATGCATCAACAAAAACAATAGTTTTTGTGTGTTATGCACAATAATTATTAATTATAGAATAAAAAATTATTTTATACACAATAAACTAAATAATAAAAACTGGTTTATATTAAATTTCAATAACAATTTTATATTTAATAAAAGCAAACATTTACTTGGTCTCCCAGAAAGCGAAAAAAAAAATTAATTAAAATAAGTAAATAAAATATTGGTCAGGATTAATAGACAGACATGTACGCTAAATATGTAGTTAGCATAAGTTAACATATTAAAAAGCTAAAGCAAAGTCATTATGAATATGATAATTGTAAACAACTTTGAAATTGAACATAAGCGTATATAGAAACCTTATAACTTATGTAATAGCGTATAATTTATTTTTCTTTGGATAGAATCAACATATTATTCAAATAAAAAAAAATTATTCATGAATCTTTGTTTATAAGTGAATAATTAAAATTGAATACTACAAATATAATTTGTAAATAAAGAATCATACTTTCATTTAATTTTTTTTTTGAATCACAGTACAACTTTGTGATTGTGAACAGACGATAACGTAAAGAAGTTTGAATTTCAATGCAAAATAATTAGTCATTACCGGTGCGGAATACGAGTAATGAAATTAAACTGCAAATGCAGTATAAATTTATTGTTATGAAATTATATGATTGACATTTGTATATGAAACATCAAAACCAATGAAAGTAATAGATCTTTCCGCAAATGCAATGTATTACTAAATATAGCGGAAACTGCGCTTTGTGTGTGCTTATAAACAAAATTATGCTAATATAGCAAAACTGATTTTTGATTTTTGATTTTATAGAAAAATTAAAAATTCATACATTGCATATTTATCATGTATTGCAGTTTTGTAATACTGCAGTATTTTCATAATTTCTTGTTTTAGTTTCCATAATGGACGTTTGGAATTCCAAAATTTCGAATCAGTTTTGATTTTGATGAGGCAATATTTGTATTGTACATTTAAAATAAAGGTAACGATTTTTTCTTTTCTTTTTTGACAACTCTGACTGATGCACGTCACTTGTATTTAGATTTAGCTCTGAATTTTAGATTTCTTGTTGAATTATTAATAACTTAATAAATATGTAGTCTGTATGTATATACATATGTATGCGCAATTTCTTATGTAAATTTTGTAATTAATTTTAATTATTTTATTATTGACACTATATTAAATAAATATTTTTTTATGTTTATATTAAAATTTTTGAATTATACTTATGCTAAATAAATATTTTTTAATTATTAAATAATTATTTTTTAAAAAGCATCGAAATTTTTTAGAAACCTGTTAACACACCCTGTACAAAAAAAAAAACAATCAACTTAAAGCGTTTTCTTATAAAAACAGGATTTATTCTTCTAAACCATTTCTTAATAAGTAACTTAAGAATGAAGATGTTTTGGTTGAATTTTATTTTTATTTTAAATTTGACATTTCAAATAAATTTGGGTGAAATTGTTATGCGGAATAGTTACACGAGAAAAAATTTCGCTGATAAAGGTTTACTTTTTTATTTTTATTTTTTTCATTGTATGCAATTATCAATTATCAATAAAATAACAATTTCATTGTTGAATATTACATATGTATACATACATAATTATATAAGAAATTAATTAATAATTTTCAGATCATCCTGGCAGATGTGTTATACCCGAATTAGATTTAATATTGTCAGCTGGTGTAATTAAAAATCCAGATCCAGATTCATGTGAACAAATTTATTGTTCATCTAATGGAATGGCTATGTTTATTGCGTAATTTAATAACTACTAAAATTTTTGTATTTTTATATAAAAATGATATTAAAAATATTTTTTTTTAGGTGTCCACCTGTATTTGTTGAAGACGAAGATAATTGTTGGATTGGAGATCTTACAAGTCCACAATTACCTTTTCCAGAATGTTGTAAGAGGCAAATACATTGTTCAAGTCAAAACAAAAGACGACGAGGAGCAAGAATGGAAACTATTTTATAGGCATATAAAATAAAAAATTTATTATTATCTGTGATAGTATAAATACAAAACTATATATTATGAATATTAACTCAGTATTTTAAAATACTGAATACATATACTTTATATTCAAAGAAGAAAAAAATGGTATATGATTTGAAACAAACTGCAGCTAAAAATTTTAAAATAAAATTTTAAAACAAAAATTTCAATTAGCAATATTTTGTAGTCAAATAAATAAATTTATCTTTTCTAAAAAATTAATATGCCTATAATAAAATAAAAAAAAACCGAACTCTTGGGATTCTAAGTTAATAAATTTTTTATTTTTTGTTTTTTTAATTGATCCTGTTTTGGTTACAATACAAGATACATACTTGTTTACAAAATTTTAGAATTTTATTTTAATCATAGATAGTAAAAATGTTAACTATCGTGCTGTACCACATTTTATAAAAAAAAAAATTGTATTCAGTTAGACCCAATAAATTAGGAAAATTTTTGTTGCAACTTGTAAGTAATGAAAACAATCCATCGAAAAAAATAATGTCTTATAATTACTATACAGTTTTGCATAAATTTAGGAGACATTTCAATTTTCGAAAAATATAAAGCTTCAATTTTAATGACAAATCCTTTTATACAAAATAAAAACACAGGTATTCTTTTTGGTAACTGTTACACATTTTGGCTTTGGAAAAAGATATTGAAGAAATATTGGATCATAAATAAATATTTAGTAAATTTTGTGGGTTATTAGCTCAGAAGAGGAAGGACTAAAATACATAAAATGGAGAAAAAAATCCTTATCTTTATAAACTATTTAAGCTTCAAATCAATTTTAGGTATCTTATATAGGATGCAAGTAAATAAAAAAAATAACCGAAAACTGATACAGTTTGATAATTTAATTTAAAAGATAAACTTGAAAACCTGGCATTTTCGCAACAGTTTTTTTACCAACCTCTGAGTGTTTACTGAATTCACAAATTTCTCTTGGTTTGGACACATTGTTTTGTCTAAAAATTTGCATTTTCAAGATTTTGAAGAATAAACAAATAAAACATATAAATTTTTGCAATTTTAATTATAGCTATGCTTTAAATTTTTTTTCATTTTGTCATGTATACAAAAAAAAATTCTTCAGTGTTTTTTCTTTTTATAACTCGAGCAACATTCTGGAAATGGTTTCGTCGGATCTTCAGGTATATAATCATATTCATCTGGATTAGCCACAGCATATACACCACAACTAAAAATATTTTTATTAGAAGCCTTTTTTTTAATGTATAGATAATTTAAATTACTCTTTTCCTTTTAGCTCGTTATCTCCAGTACATTTGATTTCAGAACAATGACCATCAGTTTTCCAAGATTCTCCAACTTTATATAATTTTCCTTTATAATTACAATCTGTAGGATTTACATAGATAAAATAAAATTTAAGACAATATATAAAACCGCAGAAAGAAAAAAATAATGAACTCAAGAAAAAAAAAGTTGTTTTAAGCATAGAAGTATACAGAAACTTTGTATGTACATACATAATAACACATAAATATGTATTCTTGAATTATTGTATAACAGGTTATGCAATTAACTACATATCTTTTCTAGTGAATTTATTACCCGGCTTGTTAAGGAGCTTATATTTAAAGCGAAAGTGGATTTTCGATACATTTCCTTCAAATTTAAATATCACAACTGTTAATTTTTAAGCTAATCAAAAATTGACAGCTAAATCTGAAGAATAAACGTGGCTGAGTGGATAATTTTTTTATTTATTTGTGCATAGTAAAAAAAAAAATTTGATTTGTTTAAAATTTGGCAGCTGTATAATATTTAAGTCAAATATAAAAGCCAGATTCTCGAAATTCCGACGGAACTTTTACAAATATCCATTTCCCTTTATTTTTTATTACTCCTATATTAATAACGAATAAATTATAATAAAACACTGTTAAAAATATATAATCCATACATACATACGTACATATATAATTTCGAAATGTCTTTAAAAACAAAAATGTTTTGCACATAAAATACGTACATACTAACAAGCTAATAATTAGTTGATAATTAAAAATTTTAAATTATATTGTACATATAATGTACATAAAAGTTTATACATACCTGCTAATACGGAAATTATGCTTAATGCTATTAAGCCAAAAAATATTATAAATTTCATTTTTTTGAATAGTCCAAATTTTGCACAAAAATAAAGATTAGCGTACAATCTTTACCAGTAGGTTAAGAAGTCTAAAATTAATTTACAAAAATTTTCCTTATTTATTCTTGTTTATTTATACTAAAGTTCCCTCCACTTCTTTATTTAAATTTATACATATACATTTATATACTTAGTTTTTCTAAAAGCATTGTTTGAACTTCCACGACAGTAAAGAAACGATAATATATAGCCGATTGTAGCGTACATATATGTATATAATGCCGTTGTGTGAGAATATAAAAATAATATTTATAATAAAATATAAATTTATGTTCTAAATTAGCCATATACATACGACCTAACCTAACATTTCTTACAACAACAATATCAAATTTCTTATTTAACATCAAGAAATAAATAGTCTCCATTAATTTTCAGCAGGTAATAACCATTGTTTATGCACTAGTGAATTTTTTAAGTAGAGGTCACGAAAAAGTGGTACACATATTTATTTCTTCTTCATAAAATAAAAGCAATTATAGCTTAATATTTAAGAAAATTGAGCACAAAGAGTAAAATTACATAATATCAGAGTAAAATTTCTCTCTGTATTTGAAGTTTTAGTAGAAAGAATTTAAAATGAAATTATCAATATTATTCCTCATTATTATACACAAACACGAAAATATTGTTTTGTATATGTTAAAATAGATCTGATAATCCTAGTGAGAGGCTTTAAAGAAGTTTCATATAGTGAGCTTTACTTAAAAAAACAATTTAGAATTTTTGTGAAGAAAAGTCTTACAATTAGTTTAGAAAAACTATTCAAAGTGACAACAAAATGAATTTTTTATTTAACATATTGTTCTTTTTGGTAATAATGCAGATGACTGCATTAGTTTACCCAAGTTAGTATGATAAACTAGAATATTTAATTATCTAAATTTACAGAGGAAAATTGTTGAATATACATTAAAATATTTTATACATTTTTAGCATCAATTCCCGTTTGCTTCTACACTGATTCAAAACAAGAAAGCCATTTATTAAAATATCATGCTGAAACTGGCGGAGATGTTTTTATTGATTATGTTGAAGGAAATAGTGGATTATGTACTAAAAGAGCTCATTGTCCAAAAAATTTCGATTTAAAAGTTGAAGAGTAAATATAAAATCATAAATTAAAATTATTCAATTTGAAGCACATACAAATATAAAATTTATTTTTTTTAGATGCTCTTATTTAAGATTGACTTGTGACACTGTTAAACAATATGTAGGTGACTTCCCGAAATGCTGTTTAAAGTGTTAAGTATGTATGCATTTATGTACCTACATATACATACATAAATTACAACTGTTGAAACTTATAAACAGTTATTAATTTTTAAAATTAATTTGTTTTAAAAGAAAATTCTATAATAAATTTAAAAATCTATTTACACTAGTAATTGTTTTTTGTTAAACTATAAAGCATTAATGCAACACTGAAGTTGGTATAGGTAATTGTACTTCGACATATGGACGTACGAACCAATAAAGAGAATGCGCATATTATAAACAGTGATTAATTTATTTACTTATTTAAAATAATTTTGGATTAGCAAAGATTTTTAAATTTGTAAATTTAATTAAAATTGTAAGACACTTTTTATTCAAAAATTTTGCATCAATGGCTGACAAAGCTTGTTGGCACAAGTCGTCGTGTAAGCAGGCATATTAAAAATTTAAATTAAATACTAAAGTTATGAATATTGATTAAACTAAAATTGCTAAGATTCAAAAGCAATAAAACAATTATTATTCGATAATTATAGTTAACGTATACATGTATGTATGTACAGATTTTAAATTGTCATAAATGTCGAATTGAAATAATAATCCGAAGAAATACATACACAATTAAAAGGCAAATAATATTATAGTAATAGATTAAAATTTTCCTTTGTAATCAAAAAATTTTATTACCTACAAGAGATCAACATGGGTTACACTTACAACTTTTTTTATCAATATAAAATGAAAATATTTACATATGTTTTTTCCTAGAAAACAAATTTTTATCTCCCACACGACTAATATTTTGGTTGAGATATGGGTCTGATAGATTCGAGCTCAGAAAAGAGCATTTTAGCTTCGATTTAAAATTTAAAAATTGATGATTAAATTTTGAATTTTCCTGTAAACATACATACATATGTACATATAAGAAATACTCGTAATATATTAGCCTTGTGTGTATTGCATTAACGTAAAATATGTAACTGTTAATTATTATCACAATAATGTTCATAAATGTGTATGAAAATAAGAAACTATGTATATGTTTGTATGTATATGCGTATGTAGTAGAAAAATTACAAGTTATTTATATTATTCACAAGCTTATAGTTTTAGCAGAATTTTAAAATTCTCTTTTATTAACATTTTACATTAAATGAACTTCATTTTGTTTTAAATATACTGATAACAAATTACATATTTAAATTAATTTAATAAAATAAAATAAAATTAGGATTTTTTTAATTGCGTTTTTATACCGCTTTAATATGTTGCTCGGAATATACAAAATATATTTCTTATTCATTTTGAATATTTCTTTTCAAGTGGAGTTAGCTAATTCTGTTATTGTTGAAACAGAAAATGGCAAAATACGTGGGAAGATAGGTGAGAATTATATTTCGTTCTTGTCAGTACCATTTGCAGAACCACCTGTAGGCGAATATCGTTTTGAACCTCCATTATCTATAAAAAAAAACTGGAGTGATATTCTTGATTGTACACAAATGCCAAATGAATGTTTACAATGGAATCATTTTATTTTACATGGAGATCGCCTTTTGGGCAACGAAGACTGTTTATATTTGAATATATTTATGCCAAAACTGAACTCTACTGAATTATTTCCCGTTGTTATTTTTATACATGGTGGTGCTTTTCAATATGGGACAGGAAATGTTTTTCGGCCAGATTTACTTATGCAAAATCCAAATGTTGTTGTAGTCACAATATCATACAGATTGGGACCTCTTGGATTTCTAAAATCTGATAAAAATAATATTTCTGCAAATTTAGGTTTAAAAGATCAACGTCTTGCTTTACAATGGATTAAAAGAAATATAAAAAATTTCAGAGGAAATCCAGAACAAATTGTTTTGACCGGTTTTTCTGCAGGCGGTGCTAGTGTCCATATGCATCTTTTAAAAGAAGATATTCAAAATTTAATAACATCTGCTGTTTCATTTAGTGGTACAGTATTTTGTCCATGGGTCCTAGTAAATGATGCAGAAGAGAAAACTGAATTATTGGCATCCATGTTAAATTGTACATCTGAAAACACTAATTCATTAAAAACTTGTTTAAAAGCCCAACCAGCCGAAAATATTGTTAGAGCTATTGGTAAACTTCAATTTGCACATTATTATCCATTTAGAATTTTTGGGCCAGTAATTGAAACGAATTCGATTGACGATTCATTTTTAAACCAAGAACCTGAGAATATTATTAAACATTCCAATATTGCGAACATTCCATGGTTAATTGCATACACATCAGAGGATGGAGGATATAACGCAGCCGAGCTAATGAAAAAATCTGATAAAGGAGAATACATTGATGAATTTTGGGAAAAATTTGATGATTTGGCTCCGAAAGCTTTATTTTATGAAGAAAAATTATCACAATTGGAAGCTAAAAAATATTCTGAACTTTTGAAACAAAAATATAAAATTTATGAGAACGACACAAATTTGGAAAAATATTTTAAAATTCAGAAAATATTTACTGATGAACTATTTGCAAAAGGCTCTCTGAAAGCTATTAAACTACATAAAGACTTTACAAAATCACATATTTCTGCTTACATATATGAGAATCCTTCACCAAAAGGAATTGGAAATCTAATTTCCGAAAGAGATGATATTGATTTCGGTATATTAAAAATTCAATATTATAATTGCTACAAACTTAAATCATAATTGTATTTGTTTTTTAATAGGTTGCACACATGGCGACGATGTTTTTTTAATGTTTAACGTTCCTCATAGAGACAGCGGTGTGCCATTTCGAGATGATGAAATTGAAATTTCAAATAAATTTCTTTCAATGTTAAAAGAATTTGCCAAAACTGGGTAGGTAAATATTTTTGTAATTTTAACAAATAGTTAACAAATATGTACACACAAATGAATACTTATACATACTTATGTATGTATATCCAAATAATATCATCTTTCAATCGATCCACAATTGTAACTACATATGTATGTACATATTATGTATTTATTATGTACTATGTATGCAAGTTAATAATGTGAACTTATTTCAAAAAAATTTAAATAAGTTGCCAATCGATTTGTTTACCAGCGACCAATTTGCGAACGATCAGTTATCCTATTCAGTTATATTCAGGTATATTCTATGTAAAATTTCAGATTAGTTAATTTTGGAGATGTACCTTTACCGGAGAACAAAAAGGATAAGAGTATACAAATTTTACACATAACAAAAAACAAACCGGTAATAATGGAGTTTGATGACATCTTATAATATCGTATAAGTTGAGCAGCTAATAAAATAGGGTAGGTTACACAAAAAGTGAAACCGTTCACTGTATATTAGACAGCACCAAAAACTTTGTTAATAAATACTTACACATATGTATGTACATATGTATTTGTTTGAATAAAATATTTATTTTTCAAAAAAAAAAAATTGGCGTTGTACCTAAATTAAGAAACTACTCTTTTTACATTAGGAGGACCAGTTTTTTAAAGAAAACGATATGGGAACCCTATGAAATTTGCATTTTAACTCAAGTGTACACATATGCAACTGTATGATGCCATGCAATTAAAGCAATCAAACAGTTTGTAATTTTTTACAAATTGATTGCAATTTTTAGCTCCTACGAAATATTGTAACTATTCATAATTGAGTGTAAGTATTTTACAATCAAGCAGTAATTGCATCTAAATTCATCTAAACAGTAATTATCCCCAAAATTTATATTATTTTCTGATACTTCATTCTTGTTCTTTTCTGTCATACAAACATACATATATAGATTGTCAAGCAAAACAGGGAAGTATTGAAATTTGTACATAAATACGTACATATATATAGTATGTGTGTACATATACTTGTAAAAGCTTTTATGCACCCACATCACGTTAGTCACGTCACTCATGCTTTAAAAGTCTGAAATAAATCTTATCAGATCACGTCACCTTAAATAGACATTTCTATTAGACACCAATAGAAATTATATCAGCTGCGATTGCTGTAGAAATTAGCTTATCGAAAATGTCAAAAATTGTTTTATTTTTATTATGGGTTATGATTAGAATTGCTGGAAAAAATATTAGAAAATTGAGATTTGAGATGACATGGACGGATAACAACGTTGTGGGAACATGATAAAATCAAATTTTCCTAAATTTTTCAACAAAAAGCCTTAAAATTGTGTCTTGTATAAATTTTTTTAAAGAATTATGTATAATTAAACAATAGACATACGACTATATCTCATCATTAGCTATCACTACAAAATTGATTTAAAAAAAGTTCATATGTATGTACATATGTATACGCTTTTTGTAAAAAAAATTTCTAATGTTGGTTGACAGAAATACCTTTAAAATTTTTGAAATGTCAATTTGGGTTCCAATTTTGTTAAATTAATTTATATGACGGAGGTTGCTCCCCTTAACAAAATTAATCAACTACATACAAATCTACATATACATTTCGTAATCATAGTATTGTCACAAGGGGTTAAATTTCGAATACGTGAATATCGAATCACATATTGCAAGCATTTCAAATAATTCAATGAGGGTTAAATCAAAGTACACACAATTCGTTATTTTTATAGTAATTTTGATAAGCGATATCTAGAATAAACTTTTTCAAGTTTATCTAGAATAAAATTTTTGCTAAAAATTAATTTAATTTAATGAAGTTAAGAGAAATTGTCATTTTTTCGCAATGGGTGATACAGATTCGTTGGACGTTGTAGTTGTTGGTTCTGCAATAATAGACATGATTTGGTAATGCACATATCCACAACCTCTTATATTTTTTTATTTACTTTTACTATATTATATTTTTCCAGTTATGCTCCTCGTCTTCCAAAGATTGGAGAAACATTACATGGACATTCCTTTGCCACGGGATTTGGAGGCAAGGGAGCTAATCAGTGCGTGGCTTGTGCCAAACTAGGAGCTAAATGTTCATTAATAGCAAAAGTATACGACTGTGATATATTACCTGATCCATATTGATATCTATAAAATGCTTTACGTAGGTTGGAAACGATATTTGGGGAGACAAATATTTGGAGAACTTGAAAAATTGTAACGTCAATGTAGAATTTGTTGAGAAAGTAAAAGATAACACTGGGATAGCTCAAATAACTGTTTTAGATTCGGGGGATAACCAAATTATAATTATTCCAGGTGCGAATAAATCCTTATCTGTAAACGACGTCAATAGGGCAGCTAATCACTTAAACAAAGCAGCCGTAAATTCATTTTTGCGTATAAAAATTAAAAGTGAAAAGATTTAAATATTGCAGGTTTTGGTATGTCAACAAGAAACTCCATTGGATGCCACAATAGAAGCGCTAACAAAATTTAAAGGAATTTCAATACTTAATTGCGCTCCGGCATTTGAAAACACTCCTAATGAGTTACTTACTCTTCCTACTTTTTTATGTGTAAATGAAAGCGAAGCAGCTCTGATGACGAATTTAAATATCAAAACTTTACAGTACGTAACATAATAATTTCTATTATGAATTTACTTCAAAATTTCAAAGCCAAGATTTAGTATAAACATACCCATTTCATATGTATGCCTAGCCAAGCGAATATTTCAAGAATTTTATCATGACTTTTAAATCAGAACACCAGTCGCTTTTTTCTAATCTTAAATTCGTCAATTAAATTATTTATTTTCTAATATTTTTCATCTTTAACGTTTTATATGTAAATTCGAATGCAAATGTACACATTCACGTAAAATTGTGTTCACAAAAAATTTTTGATTTTTTATCGCTCGACTTTTTTATACATATGTAATTTTTAATAAGTTTTGAAAGCTTGAAACATGATATTCCTAAGTACTCTTTATTTTATAACAGAGATGCTAAAATTGCAGCGTTGAAATTGTTGGAGATTGGAGCAAATTCTGTAATATTAACAATGGGAAAAGATGGTGCAATTTTTTCACAGAAAAACGAAAATGTTTATCATATACCTACCAAGAAAATTGAAAAGGTAATTGACACAACTGGTGCTGGAGATGCTTTCATAGGTTCTCTTGCATTTTTCTTTTCGAAATTCAACCATTTACCTATTACTCAACAAATTGGAGCGGCTTGCGAAATCGCTTCTTTAAGTGTACAGAGAACTGGAACTCAATCTTCTTTCTTCTTAATTTCAGAAGTTAAGGAAATAATTGAAAATGTTGAAAATAATGTGTATCCAGTTCATGAATTATAACGTTTAATAAATTTTTTCTAATAACGAATATTTCTAAATTTTATTATAACAAATTTAAAGCTATATAACGTATGTATTTGGCGAATTCTACTTTTTTAATGCTGATGGTTGTGGGCACCTATACTTTGCAAGTTCAATTTCAGCCTCAGCATATGAGCCTTTTGAATAAAGAAAATATTCCGGAACCTTGTATTCTCCATTTGCAGAAGCTCCTGGGCCGACTGGTTCAGCTGATGATTTTACACATCTGGAACTTAAACCCTCCACTTGAGTATTTATACCTTGCATGGTTGGATTTGGAGGTGTTGATTTAGTTGCTCCACCCAAAGAACTTGGTGTTTTCGCGGCCTGACTAAACCGACGTAGGCTGTGTAAAATCATATTAACCCGAAGAGTATTCATTTTACAAATATTTTTCAATTAAATCCTTTTCCTACAACGGGGAAAATGGTTAATTACACAAGTGAGAAACGACTAGAGTTGCCAATTTCACAAAATTATGCTGACCTTGCAATGTGTTTCAGTATCTATTTTATTTTCATTTTGTCACATTAGGACCAAAAAATTTATTTAAATTTATTCAATAAAATAACAGCAGCGCCATATTATATCAAAACGATTATATTAATTGGAAAGCTTGTTGAAAGTACTGAGAAAGCAATAGATCTTGCTCAACATCCATTACGTAATAAGAACTTTTTCTTAATCCTTCTATTACACCTAAGTTCCTGAATATTAAAAAATATTTGGATTGGCTTTGTTTAATGTAAATAAGGAACATATTTCAACAGACCATTAAGTCAAAATGGTATCCCAAAGAAATAATATTTTGAAAAACAGTATTACACCCTTTATTCTGATTTGATGTTTTCAACTTTTCCAGTTTTTGAATATTCTCTTTAATTTCGGCTGATTTGAAAAGACATTTATAAAAATATATTACATATTATATGATTTTTAGAAAAAAATTCAAAAGTTGCTTTGAAATATTTTTTTCAAAATCATTTGTTGAAAGGTTTTCTCTGTGTTTATACTTTTATTAGGAAAACAAAAAAGCTGGGATATGTTGTGTTTTGCATTTTTGCTTTCTGAAAAATTATTGCATTTTCAAATTGCATTTTCTTTCTGAAATAATAATATCAATGTAAATACTTAAATTTATAAAAACATTAAATCAAATAATATTTAAAATCCACCTTATGAAATATTTTAGGAGTGGCAACTCTTACGAGAATTGACATCTTGGTGAAGTGTTGCTATGAAATGTAAAATTCATCAAATTTGATAAGTATGGTAGTGTTTACACGATTATGTAAATATTGGATTTCTTGCTGATAGCCTTCACAATTTTATATTTGCTTTTAATGGTCAGTTCTACATTTAGTTGTAACGTTAATGCTAATGAGCAATGTGAAACTGTTTCACTTCAATATTGGGTTGTAATCGTAACTTTAGTTGTGATGTATTAATACGCACATACTGCATTTGAAATTTGGTTTCTACCTTGACATTACAAAAAATCTATTTCTGTTAGCCGTGGTTTCTATCAAACATGTAGTATATGCTATATAATAATTTCCAGAGCACAACAATTTTTGATTGAAGTTATTACAATAATTACAGAAAATGAGGAAGAAAATGAACAAATTGCAATTGATATTGGAACTAAGTGTGGAAGTGGACAATAAAGCTTTTCAATTCACATACAAACTTGCATTTAAAAATCAAGAAGTGATTCGAACTCATATGGAAAATGCTTTTTAGTTACAAAACATTTCTATTTTTATCTTTAATGTATATATTTTTAAGAGACGATCTTCCAATAAAAAAAAAATTGTAAATCCGATATGTCAAAATTGTAAATGCAAAGACGCTACAATGTGAAATGAAAAAAATGTAAACAGCACTTCTTTCAATACAAAAAAATGCTCAATACTATAAGTACATGACATCAAGATTCAATGCTTAAAAAAAATTAGGAAAAATTCAATGCCTTTTCAATATTTTGCCCTATCAAGTTTTTAAACGTTTATAACATTGATGCAAATCAAAAAACAATTGTCATAGTAAATTCGCCAAAAAAAACAAGTTCATTTTTACATTGTCGTTTGTATTAAATTTTATTAAGTAAAATATTTTTAGTTGCGTAATGTAACTATGAAAAGCTGTAGTTATTATGCAAAATGAGTGAAAAAATTATATTTCACCGATGTTTCCTAAAAAAGAAGATTTCTGTTATTGATCATTGAAATGTACAAATTAATAATTTGATAAAATATGAAAGACTTTGTTATCTAAAACAAAAATGAGGGCATCAGGACATCTGATCTGTGGCCTGTAATGCAAAGAATTGTTTTATATTTTCAAAGTACTTCATTTACTCTTTTGATACTCTTTTCACTTTATTTTTACATGTTTGTTTTTGCCTTTTAAAAATTTTCTTAAAAATAACAATCGCAATTTACTGGAAACGTCATTTTTACAAATAGGCGACTAATGTGCTATTATCTAATTTCAATTTTAAACACAAAAATAAAATTTAAAATAAATATTTGTATTCAATTATAAATAATTGAAAAACATTCTTCGCGTGTGATGCATGTTATGTTATGTACATACATATGTATGTACATAACATAACATCTTTAACAAAACTTATAACAGAAAAATACTTCTAAAAATAAAATAAGTCTAAGTCTAATTTCTAAAATATCTCCAAGTCATGTCCAAAAGTCCAAAATAAATGCAAAGTATTTAGATATACGTATGTGTGTACATTTGTTAATCCGTACGTACATATGTATGTAGGTTAATATGTACATATGTATAGTATAATGCACATCTTTTTATATTTTTTGTTGATTCCAATTTCGATGCATGTTTTTGAAATGTTTATGTGTAATATGTAATTTTACAGAGCTGTTGTAAATTTGTTTGTATCATTTTGTATATTATCAAAAATTGTAATAACTATTCACCTCAGTGATGAGAAAGGCTCTCAGTTTTACTTAAAATATTGTTTACTTTTTGACACATAATTTTGCAATAAACCTTGATTTCAAAATTGAACGATATTACTGTGTTGCTTTATAATTCAGCAACTACAGCTGAAGTCAAATAGCATAACTATACAGTGTTACTGTAATTTTAAATTCATGAAAACTAACAACAAAATACAATGACAGTTGTTAGACTAATCTTGCCAATGATTATTTGGATTATTTAGTTTACAAACCTCAAAAAAGTCAAGAATCCATCAGGCTACAGTACTTTTTTTTAAATTTTAGTTAAATAAAGGTTTCAGTAAAGTTACTGATACAATATTATTCAACATCAAATTATCTTCAATACTAACTTTACTACTAAAACTTGAACAAGGAAATGCAATTTTAAATTTGGAAAAAGGATTAAAAAATGTCAAGGCTAAGAGAAAAGAAAAAAATTTTTAATTACTTTTTAGTGTGCCCTGAATTTTCAATTTCCTATACAATATTAAACGTTTTTAAATGTCAAACCATGGGTCTTAGAGGAATCTGTCTACCATTTCATTAGTTCATCTATTAGGAATGTATTACTGAAAAGTTTAAGCTAGATGGCTTATATATACTTGCATATGTACATACATATGTACATATCTTATAATCAGACCTTTTTGACTCGGCTAATAAACCTTATTGAGCAATATAATTTTTAACTACGATTTTTTTTTATTAACTTACATAATGTACCTAAGGCCGAATTAATACATATTTACATGCACATATGTACATATATACAATAATTAACTGCGTATATATAAATAAAAAAAATGGAAAACACCTGGATCCTTTCATATTGGAGAACTGAATTTGATTTTATTCTGATTTTTATTTAAGTGAAAGGGTGATTGCAAATTGGACCACGGATTTCAATTTTTATTGAATTAAAAATAGAAATTTTTACAAGATTCACTTTCCCATAAGTGAATACTATGATTACGAAATTGGGGTATTAGTATTGCCCAATACAAAACAATATTATTATGTACATAATTGAACTTTTAACTTGTAGTTGCTGAATTGTTTTTCAATTTCACAAAATCTTCTAATTTCCATATTAAATGTTACGTAGGAGGATAAAAACACGGAATATATTGCCCAAAAAATACGACAACCGAGTTGTTTATAAATTTTGATTAGCTTAATTTTTATGACAACTCCATTCTCATTAGTCTTTTTTGAAGATACAGATATATTTCATGACAAAATCACGATTCAGTATCATACATACGAATGTATGTATATATTCACTGATATCGATATTGAAGTATTACTGCATTTCTATAAAAATAGGCAATGAACATTTATAAGCTGAATTTTGTATAAAGTACTACTGCAATATCATGCATCATTTTCATCTATTTTTTGATTATGAAACACGCTATTGTCAAGCATATGTTCTTTTGTACTTACATACATACATACACAAAATTATTATGTATGAGATGTATTCTTCTTCAACGCCACGTACACACACACAAACACAATTTTTATCTCTTTTGTACGAATAAATGCGTATAAAAAGCAAAAATATGCGTATAATAAAAAAATAAAATAGTATGATGTACATGTATCATGAGTAAGCTTCAAGAGTCACAACATATAGGACTAGAAATCCTGAAAAAATGGTCAGTTTTTTTTGTCCTTTCTGTCACACTTCATTGCCTTCTATTTGACTTTTGAGTGAACAATAAGCAAATAACATTAAAATATGGAAACTTCAATTACATTTTGTAAATAAATAGGCGAATACATATATATGTAAGTATGTATATGTAATATGTATATATACATATATGAACATATAAAAAATATTTATGTATATCCTATAAATATCTCATTACTTTTTAGCTTTAGAATTTGCATCAGAAATAAATCAAAGCTGGAGAAATAACTAAGTTAAAATATGCATTATTTTTACTCCTACCTCAGTTATAACAATATTAACTCTATCTCAGTTAACAATATTCTAACCTCAGTTATGTAATGACAACATAAGTTAAAGAAAGTTTTGTTTTAACTGCGAAATTAAAACTGAAAACTAAGCCCTTGCATAAGTGCATTATGTATTTTTGTTTATGACAATATGTTTAAGTATGTACATACGATTATTTGGTTTTTAAGTTTTTCATTTTTTGGCATCGGGCCTCTACGTTTATGATTTCGATTTTTAAAACTTTTCTAAAGCGAAAAAAATAGCAACTTCGAAGAACCTAAACAAAAGTAGGTGAAACAAACAACCTTTGAACTACATGTTTAAAGTGAATTCCAATTTTGACATACCAATATCAAAGCATTCGAAAGTATCTTAGTAAGTATTATGATTTTAAAAGAGGTATTATGTATTGTAACCATTAAAATTTAAAGAAGTAACTGAAAATGGACGACCTTTTTAATAAACTATTTCGGACTTTACTGAAAACTAGAAAAGAAAAATATGTCAATATAAGTATGTATGTCACTTTACTCTTTTCCGAAAATTTTTTGTTGTACTTTCTTTTTCACGTAATACACATTTTCTACTTTTTTAACAAAAGGAGTTGACTCCTTAACTTATTTGGATTCCGTGTTGCGAAACAAGCATTCTTCTAATTTGTACTTAATAGACTTGACAGTTTGAAGTTTTTTGGAGGACATAGAACACATGAACATGTAGTAATTCTAGACTTGCTTATAAACTTTGGCCTGATGACTGGAATACAACAATTATGATTACGTTTAAGATTCGATGCTTAAATACCATATAAAGAATTACGAGGTATCATAAAAGACCACGTAAGAACTATAAAGCTAAATATGTGATATTAAGATTCATTTAATACATATGTACATATGTGTTCTGTATTAATTTTTTTAACTTGTTATTAAATATACCTACTTATGTACATTATGAATTGTTTTAGAAATGTTTATTTTAGAAAAAAAAACTTGCCTAAATTTATTATGAGTGTTCTCTTTTTAAAGAAAACGATATGGAAATCCTATACTAAGGGCTTTTACTTCACTTAGTATAATATCAATTTATTTTCACCATGCCTGTTTTCTAGTTTTCCACACAAGTTACTCGAAACATTGTAAACGAAAGAAAAACCAAAGAAAGGAAAGGTTGAAATTTGTTAAAGGTAAAGAGATGCTGTGTTAAAAAGTAATAAGAAAAAGGCTAGGGTATAAATGCTGTGTAATTTAAATTTCGGAAAAATGGATCGTTGCTCTCTCAAATGACATTTTAACAATTAATATCATAAGAGGAGTTACTTAGATTCTTTTTGACATTTGACATTTTTACAACTAAAATACAAGAAAATTGATTAGAGGAAATTTTTAGAAAAACGATCGAATGTTTTTTTAAAGTGGATTTTCGATAATTCTACCTTAATTTGAAGAGAATTTTAAAATTAAATTCAGATCCAGTTTTTTTAATTCAGATACTTTCCTCAGCTGTCAATTTTTGTAGGTTAAAGAATTAGTAGTCTAAGTTTTTTAAAGAAACGTGTCAAAACTGTCTCTTGACTCCACGAACAAGCACAACATGAAATTTTTGTTTTCACAATGAGACTAACAAGATTTTTACGAAAAACATATTTTTCCAACCTTATAAAAAAACTTTTTCTTAATATTTTTCAATAAAATTTACTATAGCTGATCAGCTGTAGTTGCTGAATTGTGTGCCAGTAGCCAATACCGAATAATTTACTACAATTTTGAACTTGCCTGTTTGGGAAAGGGGATAATTAAAATAAAATTTTTATTTCACATTTATGATTTATTTGAAACATATTTATAAGTAAAACTAAAATATAATGTTTGTGTAGTTAAAACGCAAGTGCTTATATTGAAAAAAAAACGTATTATGTATGTATTAGTTTATATTTTTTAATTTACATATTTCATATTTTATTTTTGAATCTTAAGTAATAATAATTACATATGTATATGCATATTTAAAATAAAAAGAAAAAAAACTTAATTTAAATAAAATTTTAAAATTGAAGTTCGCTTAACTTTTATAATCCGCAACAATGTTTTTAAATTTAACAAAATTTATTTTTATTTTTGAAAAATTATGTAATTTTCTTATTTTATTACATTCATATTGTAGATGTACCATAAAATGATAGATCAATTCAAATGTGAAAAGTACCTTGTCAAAAAATATGTATACACATGTAGATAAGTATGTTCTCGATAGTAGTACGATACTCCAATAAATTTCAATAGTACAGGTAGTGTAAAACTATCTTAAGAGCAGTTCACATTTACTGAATTTGTGGAGGTGTTGCAAAACATCCAAAATACCGCATTCACATTTTCCTTCATTCATTTTGACATTTATGTGAATCTGCGAGTAGCACGTTTAGACCAAATTCTTACTATTCAAATTTATTCCTATTTTGGATTAACTACAGAAAAATTTGACTGAGCCCATTATAATATAGTCTCTTGACTCTTCCATCAGTAACAGTTTTTCTTTTAAAGAGTAATTAATATGTAAGCAATTTCCTTATAAGAATAAAGTTATTGTTAAGATGTTCAGGAAAAAATTACTTACTGTTAATTTCAATTTGCTTGCATGCTACAAGCTTCTGTTTAATTAACAAGATTAAAAAATAAATTCCTAAGATTATTGAATTTAAAAAATTATATTAAAATTGATTTCTTTTTTGCTAATCCTTATTTACATTATATTTTAAACCTAATTTTTTTAATGTTTTTAAATATTCAAATTAGTGAAAATATTTGAAATACATTTTCAAACGCCGCGTAATTTTTTTATATCAAAATAAATTTTTCTATTATTTCTATTATTTGTTAAACAAAATTTTATATTAAAAAAAAAAAAACAATGAAAACAAAACTTAATTAAGGGAAGTCACATGAAAATATTGTGCTTAATTCAAAACGCATTGTTAACTACTTACACAGTACTTAAATTTTCAAATTTTTGACTAAAATAAATTTCATAAAATGTTTCAACGTAAATAAAATCAACAATGTATTTCAATATATGTACGTTTGTTACGTTCTTTCATTAATCTCAATTGGCAAAATGAATGTAGGTATGTAAACGTTGGAAAATTGAATGAATTTTGATATTTTTGATCTATGGAACATAAGGCGCCAGTTCAACAAATTGATTTTTTAACGAAAAATCGTCAATTAAATTTAAAAGTATTTCAATATCTTTTAATTTTTCTATTTGATGAGGTGCGCCTAATAATTTTACGTTTTTACCTTCAATATTTGTAAAAAAGGTATTATTTTTGAAAATAACTGCTCTATCATAAGGTACTTTTGGGGTAGGGTGCAATGCTTGTCTTCTAAACATAACATTACTCGGTCGATATTTATGTATTTCATCTGGATTAATATAATCATCATATATTTCACCAGTATATGGTTCAGAATTTTGTGATACCATTGCTCCTGTACATTTTTGCAAAGACACCTTACACGTCCATTTATTATTTGGTAAATCAATTGTTTTAGCTTGATTTGCCAAATTTATTAAAGGTATTTCAACAATGTTTCTAATCGTATTTTCTTTTTCAAGTGTTTCTGGTGGTAGATTTATAACATACCAAGTCTCAAAACACGTTATTTTTTTGATTATTTTATTGCCTTGTCTTTGAATGATAACTTTTTCGCTTGGTAACTTTCTTTTGTTATTACTAACTGGTGATTGATTTTTATTTTCTAATTTATTTTCATTTACTTGTTTTAATAACTGATTTTTAATATTTTCTTTAGGTTTTTTTCGAGTAACTTCGTTGTCGCTATCGCTCATATCATTCGAATGCCTTGTATCAACTTTTGTACTGAAAGTTGTTATAGGTGTTGTTTTCTTAGCAACCATTGAATTTAATATTCTAGGTGGACCTTTGTTTTGAGATTTATTTGATAAAGTCAAATTACCTCTTCTACTTGACACTGATTTCGATAACTTCAAATTATTGTTTAAAATTTTTATATTTGACGGATTTGATGTAGATGTTGTATTTAACTGATGTTTTTTGTTATTACTCTTGCGCTGCGGCGGAAAAGGAGTTCTCGGAGGTGGATCTTTATTTTTGTCAAAATTTTCGGATAATAAATTTGTATGGTTTGACTTACGACGATTTTTTGTACCAGTTTTTTTTCTATTAGACGGAACATTTTCGTCAGATGAATCTGGACAATTACGAACTTTCTCCGATTTGAGGGGATCGTTTTTCATTTTTTCAAGCATAAAATCACCTAAATTATAAAAAAAAAACATTTTATAATAAATTTTCTATGAAAAACTTTTTTATATATGCATTTATACCTTTTTTACCAATTATGTCATTTATGTTGACTATAGTAAAAGTAGGCATTTTTTCAAAATCTTCCAATGTAGAGGCTGTAGTTTTAGCAAAAGGATCACTATTTTTTTCTAAAACTTCCTTATCAGAATCACTAACACTTCCAAGAGTGAGACTTTCAGAGTCGTTATCTTTTTTAGCTACGTTTTTTATTTGTTTAATCTGTTGTGCACTTTCTGTTTTGCTTTCATTATTTACTTTATTTTTTTCTTTAGGTTGTTGCAAACTTTTATTTAATATCATTGGTTTTGCAACGCTATTTGCATTTCGATTTCCTGGGCTATTACTTCGCTTACTTACTTGAGCTAATTTCTTTACAACTTTTATTTGTCTCTGAGCTGTTAATTCTTTAATAAAATCGTCTATATCAGAGTTATTTATGTCGTCATCATCGTTTAAGTCAATATCACTATCAAAACTATCTTTTTTAAAAGTCTTTTCATTAATCTTAGAAATCTTCGTCATCTCCTTTTGTTGTGTAGGTTCGTTTAATTTTCGTTTGCGAGCGAAACCCACGGATCCACCTACCAATGATGGTTGTTTTGTTTTTTGAGATCTATCGATAGTTGTCTTTGACAATTGATTTTTTTGGAAAAATGTTTGATTATTGGAAGGTTGGTTATACGAATACTTGTTTAAAATAATTGTTTTTCCTGGAAGTGAAATTTGTTTAACTACAGGATTATTTTTAATGCTCTGATTGAATTTTTCCATCTGGCTAAGTTTATTTTTTTCGACGTCATTGCTTAATTTAGGTTTAAATGTTGGTGATATGTTAATCGTCTTTTTATTGCCTGCTGTAACATTTAACTTGGCTTTGGATTTAGATGGTTTATCATATTCTTCTTCCGCAGTTGAGGTATCTTCACTTTCTCTGAGAATATCGGAGTCGACATCGCTTGAAGTTGCACTGAATCGATCGCTCTCAGAATCAAAATCCGAAACACCACCACCAGCTTTTTGTGAAATTTTATTGCTTTTAAAATTAGTTATTAAATTGTCATTTACATACTTCCGATTAGGCTTTGGAGTTCGTTTTGATCTTATTGGTGTATCTTCAACTACTTTTCTCTCGATTTGCTTTTTAGGTATAAGCTTTTCATTAATATTCGTGTCCACTTTCTTAAAGTTCTTAATTTCTGGTGATTTACGAATAATTTTCTGAGACTGCTTCATGTTTTGCATTTGAACAGGTTTTCCCTTATTTAAAAATTTTAAATTGAATCCCTGGAACAGCATATCTTCCGATTTTTTGTTAATTGAATTTAAATTACTTTTTACTTTGCCACTCTCTAATCTACTAATTTGTCTAGAAGCATTCGACACTGCTTTTATAATCCGAATTTCAGGTCTTTTTTCTGTAGGATCCTTCTTGCTTGGAAAGTCTCTTCTCTGTTCAGTTGTGCTAACTTTTCTCATGTTTAATTTTTCAATTTTCAATTTTTTAATAGGAATAAAGCAACGTTTTGTTTTGAAGTTTTGAAATTTGCCTGAGCGTCTATATCCAGCGCTTTGTTTTTTACTATTCAATTTGCGAGATGGTGTCATTATTTGTTTAAAACAATTATAAATTTACTAGCGCTTACTTAAATTCATCATAAAATTATATGAGAACAAATTCAAAATTATTTGATTTAATTGTATTTTCCAAAAATATTTACTAAATATGCTCTAGTTCTTCAATTAGATTTGACAACTTCTCAGGTAAATGACGAAATTAAGTCTCCAAATAAGACAGTGCTAGTTAACACAAATTATTATAATCAATTCCCGCGCACTTTTTCCTTTTTTAATTTCTTCAAAAATTTATTGAAATATTTGTATTTTATTAAATCCCATAAGAAAATAGTTCTAAAATTAATTTTTACTGCATCACTTGAAATAAAAAAATTCTATCCTTAATTAAAAATTACAAATAAGAGCGTACGTACGCTTCGTGACAAGTTTCTATTTTAAACGAATGAAAATGAATATAACAAAAACAAAAATAAAAAGCAAAAAGCTATAATAGGCCTCCACTTTCAAACGACATCAATGCAATTTCTATTTTGTAGACTTCGTAGCCATTTTGTACTAAGAAATGCGTCGATGTAATTATTTGAAGTCACAAATGACACAACCCATTCTAGTCTCTTTGCCAATAGTATCAAAAATGAAAATAACACAAGGGATATGAATAAGGAAGTTTACAATGGTAAATTTATTGATGAAAAAGTTTCTATAATTTTAATTCATTGTTATTTTTTTTCGAAATTAAAAATTAATTGCGTACTATAACGAGGTACGCGTTTAACAGTAAGCTCAAATTTCGCTCTAAAGATTCTTTGTAAAAATAAAATGTTGTAATTTTTTTGAAATTTTGACAAAACGCTAAGGTTTTAAATTTTTTTTTTATAAATCTTTACTTTTGTGAACATAAATTATTTATTTTCTCAATACAAATCTTAAAAGTTGATTATTTATTTTTTAAATTTTATTAAATTTGTTAAATATGTCAAATTACTTGCTAAAATCATTGGTAAAAATATTTTCTTCACAGTTGAGTTTAAAACAGAACAAGAGTGGTTTTCCTTGAAGAAATGTCAGAATTCATAAAGCATACCAGATTTAAATAGAACTAAATTCTTATTTTACCGCATTATATGCAAAATTGTTCTGGGTTAACAACGGAAATCGCTTGCCGCTGCCGTTCAGCGCTATGTTTTTACAATTAAGCAGATAAAATACCTATAATCAATCATAGATAACCAATAGAAAATCGCAAAAGCAGCAAAACCATATAAAGTTCGCCGTATAAACGAAAAGATCCAAAATAAGTAGATTAATAGAAAGTTAAAAGGTGGTTTTCATATAGTTTAAATCTTGTCTGAATAAAAACTTGACAACAAGAAAAGTCCAAAATGAATAAATTGTTAGTTGCTTAGCAAGTTGTTTGAACTTAAATTTTATATTTTCGATCTGAAGTTCGCATTCTACTTTTTAATAAGCATTTCGGCAAACAAAACTGTTTGGTAAAGTCAGAATTTACTTTTTTTTATTCATTTTTTAAGAAATATTTAAAAAAATAAAACAAATTAACGCTTGTAAAATTTTATATGCATATATATATTTTTTTCTAAGAATTCTTAGAAAAAACGATGCAGCAGAAATATTTCTCAAAAAGTCACAGTTCCATTTATTTTGATTTATTTTAATATTGTGATTGTACTAAAGAACATAGGCAAAATTATCACATCTGAGTAAATTTTCAGCACATTTCAATTGATTATTTACTTTTTTACGTTATTATTATAATTGTCAAATTTCTCTAGTGAAAATTGACAATAAAAACATGTACATACCATGTACAGTACCAGTACAACAGTGTATTTGTATGTTATGATGCTGATAAACTGTAAATGTGAAAGAAATGTGGGAACCAATGTCTTGCTTTCATATATGACACAGATTTGATTTTTTTATCTACTTTGTACATTGCAATGCATATCGATTTTATTTGATAATTTTGTTTATGTTCTTTTTATTAAAATGAGCCATTGAATTAGACTTTAATAAATTACATAATTATTCCATTTCATATTTTAATAAATTAACATGTTACATGTAAAAAACGTGTAAAATAATTAAATGTTCACACATTACGTGTTGTTAAATTGGATTCAAAATATATTATTATGTTCCGATTTTTGTGATTTTTAATTTTTTTTCCGTATTGGTTTCTTTTTTAAGGTCTATTTACAATTCCTGTTACTATTATGGTTAACAATTAACTTTAATATTTTTTGTGGGCTCCTGTACTAAAGTTCAGTTTTACATTAATTTCGATACTTTTACTCCAATATTCAGTGATATTGATAAATCAATAAGTATTTCCCAACCCTATTATATTCTGCTGCTTCCATTTTCGTTTGTAGAAATGTATTGTAGACTTAAGTGTCAAAAGTATTATTCGGCACTAAGGCAGAGGGCAGAGCTTACAGAATTGGTTTGTGATTTGCGTATTGTTGAAAATTAAAATAGTCACTCCATTTTCTATTCGCGTTGTGTGTTGGTTTATGGGTATATATACTAGAAAATATAATTTTTGCTAATATTTTACAAAATTAAAAGGAAGTAAAATGGGATCTGATGGTAAGATTACTATTTCCTACTATTAAATTAAGTGAAATAAGTCTTAAGCACCTTGAACTTACATGCGCTTGGTGGAAAAAACTAACAGAGTGCTTGTATATTGCTTACATATGTACTTACGTATATACATCCTATACATTGTATATCTGCATAAATATTGGCTAAATATCGTGTATGTATGCATATATGTATGATGCAGATGATAAATCGAGCAATATGCAACCTGTATCTATAATCTCTTGCAAATAAATACAAAATTTGTTATTTAAATTAAATATTAGATCGCGACAGAAGGCATCGTAGAAGAAGTCGGTCTCGTTCGCCAAGGCGACGCAGTAGGTCCCGAACCCCGAGAGATCGTCATAATAGGCGAACAATTACGAGACGAAGAAAACCTTCTTTATATTGGGATGTACCACCTCCAGGTTTTGAGCATATTACGCCACTTCAATATAAGGCTATGCAAGCAGCTGGACAGATTCCTGCTAATATTGTAGCTGATACGCCTCAAGCTGCAGTACCTGTAGTTGGTTCAACAATTACGAGACAAGCGCGACGACTATACGTTGGAAATATACCATTTGGTGTTACTGAAGAAGAAATGATGGAATTTTTTAATCAACAAATGCACCTATCTGGATTAGCCCAAGCAGCCGGGAATCCAGTATTAGCATGTCAAATAAATTTGGACAAAAATTTTGCGTTTTTAGAATTTAGGTCAATTGATGAAACGACTCAGGCAATGGCATTTGATGGAATTAACTTTAAAGGACAAAGTTTAAAAATTAGACGTCCTCATGATTATCAACCAATGCCTGGTATGACAGATTCGGCTGTTCTCAATGCACCAGTTAGTAAGTTAACCCCACACTACTTTTTTGAAAATGATATTGAAATAAAAGTTTTTTGTTTTATTTTTAGCTGGGTCAATATCAGCTGTAGTTCCAGATTCACCACATAAAATTTTCATTGGAGGCTTGCCAAATTATCTAAATGAAGAACAGGTAAGGGAGAAAATTTTCATAATAAAATAATTTATAGAATCGTTGATCCTATTGAGTGTAACTTCACTATTCGATTTTGAAAGCCAATTTGGATTTTTATGTGCTACTGCATTTTTTTTTGAGAAAAAATAGCGATGTAGTACGAATTTTCGATTATAATTAAATTTTTTCAGATATAATGTATTTTTAGTGTCGAAGGTAAATTTTCAATATTCTACGAATGTATTTTAACTTACAGGTTGCTCTGAAAAAAAATTGAAAACAACGTTTATTTTACGATAAATTTAAGATTATTTTTGTTAAGGATTATTATTATATGTACAGTGGAGTGTGAAATTTCAATGCAGAATTTCCACAGATATTTTTTTTTTACAAAATATGAAACTTTATTTTTGTTCTTTATGTAAAGGGATTAAAGAGGGTTGTTTTTTAGCTAAATTAATTTAGGTGAAACGACAATAAACTCTGATGTAGATTAACTTATTTTGAAGTAACCTATAGTTGGTCTACAGTTTTTTAAATTCAAATCTGGAAGAATCGAGTGTAAATGTAATACTAGAGCCATTACTTAAACACTTCAATTAAGAAAATATCAATCAAATAATTTACTTTCTTGAGTAAAAATTTGTATTCTTAAGTTAATATTTCGTTTAAGGGACCTTGATAAGAGTTAATTTAAGGCTCAATACTCAAAAATTCATTTTCAGGAAAAAATGTTTTTTATTTTCAGCCAGCTTTCAGGAATTTGTTTTTTTAGAAAAAACAAACTTTTTAAACTTTTTTTACAGCTACCAAAAATTATTTTTTCAGCTGTTCTACTTTTCAGCAAAAACAAAATATTATTTATTTGCAGCAATTATATTTATAATATAAAAAAAAACATTTTTCTGTAAAAAAAAACATACTGATTTATAATTTCATTATTATTGTAGCATAGGTTGAGCTACATGGCAGACTGCTGCTTCCCAATAGTTTATGTTGCCATTGTTATCCTCAAAGCAAAAATGCTGTTATTGTTATCTGAATGCACAGATCAAAAATTAAATAGATACATATACATATAAAATATCAATATAATAAACTTTGTTTCAAATCGCTTTATAAATCAAAATGGGATAAATTTTTATCGAAAACATAAAGATATTTTAAAAGGCAAGTTTAATTGAAAAACAAAATGAATTTTAATTACAGAATACGTGAGTTTTTCGAGTTCAGGGTTATATTTGTTAATCTTGGTTGAGGGTTTCATCTTATTTTTAAGTATAGGTTCCTAGATGTCATTCACAGTAAGTATACAATCAACGGTGATCGGTAGAAATTGTCGCATTCAAGAAAATTTAAGTTTATTTGATATTTTTTTTCAAATACAATTTTCACATTTGTTTTTATTTTAACATAAAAAAAAGACTATCAATATCATTTAAACTTGAGTTCTGCGCGAGAATTCATTTGGAGTAGTATGTCATTTCGATTGGTATAAAATTATTGTTGAACTAAACTTACTAGCCCTACATATAAGAGTTGCAGTCATTACATTTGTTTTTTTTTCTTTTATGTTTAACTATATAGGTCAAAGAATTGCTTTTATCTTTTGGACAACTGCGAGCATTCAACTTAGTTAAAGATGCAGCAACTGGTTTAAGCAAAGGATACGCGTTTGCGGAATATGTTGACTTTAACATTACAGATCAAGTGAGTTTTTGAATATGCATATACGATTTTCATTATGCAGTTGTTAGATTAGCACAAATTTTAATTTTTAAATTGGATATTGCAATTATATTGCAATGTGGTTCACTAGATTAAGGGCAAGGTGATTATCACTTATATCCTTTAGATGCATCACTTCAGGTGTTGGGATTTTATTCAAGAAGTTTGTATTGCTCTAAATAAAATCGATTTAGGAATTTTTAATTTTATATGCAATGAATCCAAGTTAAAAACATCACAGATCTATATACATACATATGTAACTTATGGTCAAACAATTAATATAATAATATAAATTTTTATATATACCAATTTCAAATCTTACTTATTTTCAGGCTATTGCCGGTTTGAATGGAATGCAACTTGGTGACAAGAAACTTATTGTACAAAGAGCTAGTGTTGGAGCTAAAAATTCACAAGTTGGAACTGTTGCTCCAGTACAAATTCAGGTACCAGGATTGTCAATGGTGGGAACATCTGGCCCTCCAACAGAGGTATTGTGCTTATTGAATATGGTTACTCCAGAAGAATTACGTGACGAGGAAGAATATGAAGATATTTTAGAAGATATTAAAGAAGAGTGTGGAAAATATGGTATTGTTCGAAGTGTAGAAATTCCAAGGCCAATTGAAGGCGTAGACGTTCCCGGATGCGGAAAAGTTTTCGTTGAATTTAATTCAGTTGTTGATTGCCAAAAGGCACAACAAGCACTAACTGGTCGTAAATTTAGTGATCGTGTTGTCGTCACTTCCTACTTCGATCCTGATAAATATCACAGAAGAGAGTTTTAAATTGGGATTTAAAAATCAAATTTAAGAGAATAAAAACTTTAAACAAAAATTATAAATAAAAAACTTTAATTAATAAGGAAAAATAACTGAAAATAAATTCGTTCTTAAAATTATTTTTTTTTAGGTATTTCTTTTTTAAAATAACTCCTTAAACTTTTGGTTTTGCATTTTATTTTCAATTTAATAGTTTACAAATCGAAAAATTTTTCTATTGACATTAATTTTTATAATTGCTATTAGGTTTAATTTATATTTTTTTAATGTATAAAAACTTTCTTAAAAACTGTAGACTTGAATAAGAATTTGCTGAAATACAGTCAAGACGTTTTGATAAATTCATTGAAAAAATCGTGCTGTTATTATTACCTCCAGGACAAGCTTTTTTTTTAAACAAATTTCTGTTGTCTACACTTTAATTTTTTTTTAATTTTTGAAAAAGGAAGATACGTACGTGCCTATGCGAAAATAATTTTCTTACTTGGAAATATTGTAGCCGCCTTACATATTATAATCGTCTACTAAATTGCAAATCTAACTTCAACTTGAATTATGACTTTCTTAGTACATCTATTAAGCAATCGTTGATTTCTTAAATTAAGTTGAAACTTTGATTTCCTAAAACTTTGTTTTATATAGATATGCAATAATTTAAAATCATTGAAATAATTGCATAAATATCGGATAAAGCTGCAGCTTTCAATATTGTTCAAGACAATTTTGTTTAAAAAAAAAATTACAGTGCCGTGTCAAATTATTAATTTTTTTCTGACAATATTGATTATATGTGACATTACTGGCATAGAAAAATATTTATAGTTCTTTTAGTAAATTATGTTGAAATTAATTTTTTTTTAACTTGAGTGTATTTATTGAAACTGTAGTTATTACAATAAAGTAACCAGTTTTTAACTGAAAGAGCTACGGAAGTCCAACTTTTTTCAGATTACCATCAGAATTTAATTAGAATTTAGCAAAAATAACAAATGAAAATTGCATTAAGTGTTCAATAAGAGAAGAACACCTTTTTACTGTTATGTTTATTAATTTTTGGAAAGCACTCTCCTATTTTAATGTTAAAATAAAATTTCCAAAATAAAAAGTTAACAAAAAGTAAAATTGAAGTTGTTGGAATAAAATTGTATTCATGAGGGACTTAAACTGTTTTACTTGTGATGCGAATAATAAATAATCGTTTGAATTTTGAATACAAATGTACATATTTCTTGTTATTTATTTTAAATTTTTTATTCTCAAAAGAAATTGTAAAATTTTACAAAATTTAGTTTTGTTTTTGTCTCCAAAATTTTTCATCTTTAACTTAATTTACACACATTACTATGCACTCCAGAAAAATTTCGATAAGGTATTATGAAAAGTGTTATGAAAAATAGCGCATGTATAAACAGTATCAATCATTTTTATGCTTTTTGCATATTTTATTAAGTATACACTATGATTTGTACGTGTTAAGAAACAAAATCTTCATTAAAAAAGTCTTTAAGTTTTCACCCTTTGGTGTTTAAATTTCGATTTAAAACCTGATTTATATATAAGTAGATTATATAGAAAAATGCGCAAATTGTTTAGCAGCATAAATGAGCAAATTCTTAGTATTGTGTAAATCGATATTATTCGTCTGAAGAGTTCAGGTAAAACGACAACCATCTTCTATTTTCGTTATTATATTTTCTGATCACTTTCCATTTTCATTCCCAGTCTGTGCATGCACTATGCTAACGTTTGTTGGAAGACCTATTGTCATCCTTACAAAATATATTGTGTTAAACAGGTACAAAAAGTTTAACATCGTTCAGAATTGGGTCTGATCAAAGCATATATTTCTATATAATTTCGAATTACATATTGAGTATTTTATGAGTTCAATTTTCAGACCTTCATGAAATTTAATTTAATTTGCGGCTGCAAATGATAAATTCTCTAGCAGTGATTTATAAATATTGTAAAATTCTCGGACCTATTTATTTTTTATTAATCTATTGTTCTAATTAGTTGTCAGTGATCAGCCCATGAGCCAGAAAAAGCTAATTTTTCCAATGTACGTATGTATATATATGTGTAGATTGATTTCGGCGATTCTTCATAAGCATAATATTGATTTTCTTAACGTAACACTGCAAAACAATAACTGCGAAACGGGATACTGCAAAACAAAATGTATAAATGTAACAAAATTAAAACAACTCATATGATTAAACTGCACCAATCATAATAATTCCGATGTATTGCAAAAATTTAGCCATTTTTATTTTTTTATATGAACATGCATATAGCGCAGTTTTCTTCACTATATAAATCGCGATCTACAGCGTTTATGAAAAAGTCGATTATTCTTAAAACAACTATGTACGTGTTTGCATCGTATTTAGAAATAAAAGTAATTTTCAATAATTTTAATAAAATTGAATTTGAATAATAAAATATGCACAGAAATGAGAGCTGTTCAATTCTTCAAATTTATGAAATCATAAGAATATCTTTTTTATATACATATGTATATTCTAAATATCAGATATTTTTGTTTGTATGAGTATTGTATGAGTATTGATAAATTTTTTGTATTTTTAAATAATTATTGTGAATTTTTTCGAATTAGCTTTCTTTTAATGAAATTATTTAATTTTTCATTTTCATTTTTGAAAATTGCAGCATTGTTTTCATTAGAAATAAACCTGCAGCTGCATATTTTTTTATATATAGATCTACATACATACATAAATACATATTTGCAATATTTCATTACACATAACGTATCTTTTTACGGCATATTTGATCGGCAATAAGTAGTTTAGTAGTAAAGTAATAACAAAAACGTAAAAAAAACTTTTTTGTCATTCGAAGGAAAACTGCTTTTCTTTCCAGTTTTACTATGGCAACATAAAAGAATGTAGCTTTTTAATCGAGTTTAATTTTTACCAAATAACAATAAATGAGTAAAAAAAAAATATTTAGCATAGTTTTAATCGTTATTGTAATTACATATATTGTACTTCACGATTATTCATCCCCATATTATTTTTCTTTAACATACACATGTATGTGTTAATGTGCGTATATACTCGTACAATTATTATATAAAATAAATTTTAAATTGTAAAATAAAATATGAAAATTTTTTTAATACGCAATCACGAATGTGAGATCTTTTGGCTAAATAAAATATAACCAAAATAAATAAAAAATAATTTCATTAAGGCGAATCATTAAATTTAATATTAAATCTTTCAGTTGATGAAATTAATATTGGGTTCGCATACTTATTGCATCTTAAATGCAACTGCATACAGGAAGGTGCCAATATAGTTTTACGGAGAAGGTATTGAAAGCAAACAATATTCTTTTATTTCGGCCTTTTGTACAAGAATTTGCATTTATTCACAAATTTTTGTATTATTTTATGATTCCTCCCTTTCCATAAATATTATCGCTCAAAATATGCTAAATGCCAATGAGGTTGGCCACCGATTTCTTTGACGTTATTAATTGTTTTAATTTTTAAGAAATTCTCTTTATCCACTCATTTTTTTCCCTTATACTTTAACTTATGTATGCCATTTAAGTGACGAAAATGATTACTTTTAGATTTATCCGAAAGTTAAAAGAAAATAGGTGTATATATACAATGGTTCTAGACTTAAATTTTTAAAGAGAAATGTGCTACTTTACAAAACATGAATTTGATCAACTATGACAGTTTTTTGTGCATATGCTATAGTACTTGCATTATTTTCTGTTTATCTTTCAAAAGACGAGCATTTTTAAGCGGTTCTTTGCACTCCAAGGTCAACTATTTCATTCTTTCCGTTTCCTTGAACAGTTTCTCATTAAATTTTGAAAAGATTGAACTAGAAGTTTTTCTTAAAAGAAAAACTTGATATACCTTCATATAAGTACCTTAATGAAGGTCAGTAGGCATTGTCTTATTGAATTTGCTTAATTTATAATTACATGTTATACATATACATATATAATATGCTAGATTATGTACATACGCTTAAATTGAAATCTACATATGTAAGCAAATATTGGGTAAAATTATTTCATGATCCATATTAAAATATTTATAAAAAATAATTGATTTTCAGGACGAAAATCCGAAGTACAATTAATCCGAGATAACTATTAGAAGTTATATTAGAGCGTATTGTTGAAAATACTTGGAAAGATATTGGTATACATACCTTTCATCAATATACAAATTAAACAAGAAATATCGTTGCGCATATTTTCAAATTGTTTTGAAAGTGGTAGGTGTATAGGTGAGGCAGAATATTATGTTTTATGTGAATCTTTTAATTGTACACATGCACAATAAAAAAAAATGTTAACTTCAAGTTGGAGTAAAATTGAAATGAAACTTAAAATAATTTTTTTATTTTCAGCCATTAGCTTTCAAAGGTTAGATATAATTAGAAAATTTTTGCTTTTATTACCTTACAACAGAAATAATTTTGCTTTTATTTTATGAAGAAAGAGTACGTTTTTTGGAGAGATTGTTACGTTTTATACATACATATGTATATTAATATATGTATGTGTCGTTGTACGACCCGTTCCACTTAACTGTTCCGTAACTACAGATTCAAAATCGCCAATTTCTAGTCTTCTTGCTTATTTTAGTTAATTTAAATGATGCAATTCAATTTTATAGTTGCTGGTATCTGCGTTTAGACAATGTATATTTTGTCATAAGACTTGCATTTTACTTTGTATACCGAACATTCTTCTTGCATTTGCCATTAGTAGGTTTTTATAAAGTTCTCAGTCAGTATTTCTAGCTGGTCTCAGGTGTCCAGATGCTATATTTCCTTAAAGGATTACTGAAAGATAATAATAAGTTTAATGATATTTATTACATGATCATAAGTTAAAGATGTTTATATTTTTTCTTGTACGTATTATTTTTTCTTATACGCTTTATATTTTAGACGCTCAAACACAGTTCTGTTTGTATAGCGTGCTCTTATTTTTCCGTTTCACGTTTTTTCTCTTCTGCTTGATGAGGTTTTTGAATATGTTTTAGAGCCTTTATTAATTTTGAAATTTTTCATTAAAGATTTTTCTTTTTTTAATACGTTTGTTTTTATTTATTACAGAAAGGTTCACTTATTACTCGAAAGCGTGAATGCAATCGAGCACATAAACTCATCAATCACTAATTGTTACTTTTCGGTTACATACTATAAATGCCTGCCTTATAAATTGTACATTTTAAGAAAACAAATAGTTTTTAAATTCTGCGAAGCTGAAAGTAGTTTTAAAGTAGTAACTTATTGAAGTTATTTGTTTGAGTAAGTTTTGAGTTTAATATTTTAATCACAATGTGTATTGTTTCATATTGTAAGATAATGAACCAGAGATGTGACAAGATATTTTATCAATCAAAATTTTTCTGTAAATAAAAATTGAATTAAACTATAGAATATATTTCATCATTTAAGTTATTTCATTATACGTATATCTAAAATAGTACATATATAGCATTTCAAAAAAAGTTGGAAATCGGTAAAACTTTTTTGTTTGTCAATAAAACTTAAATGGAAAAAAAATAAAACGGCAAGATCAACTAGATTTCCTATACTTAACAAAGTTTGTACTTTCTCAGACAATAGTACTATTTCTATTAAACACATATCAAAGTTGAAAATTTTTAAAAATACGTGATTTAAGTTGTACTAAAATTATTCGATTTTTTTTTGTTATTTATCTATAAATAATTGTTATTGATAAATAATAGATGCTTACGAGTAATATGCGGAATATTCTGGCCGAGAACTATAAGCAATAGGGATCTTTGGGAATTAACGGGGCAGGAACCAGTATACGTGCAGATCAGAAGAAGGTGGGGTTGGATAGACCATACACTTCGGAGGCCAGTAAGTAGTATTCCACGAAGGGCCCTTGAATGGAATCCGCAGGGTAAAAGGAGAGTAGGCAGACCTAAAGAAACATGGCGTAGATCAGTATAGAAAAAGAGGTGAAGGGCGCCCGTAAAACATGGTCCGAAATAAAAGAAATGGCGCAGAACAGAGTCAGATGGCGAAGCTTTGTGGATGCCCTATGCTCCCAAAGGGAGTAGAAAAGGAAAAATAAATATTCGATGGCATGCAAATAATATTCGATCTGTTTACACGAGTATCCATTTTTAGCGTATCAGTAGTCTTTCTTTTATGGCTCTAACACCCTCTTTGAGAAGCACAACGTAAGTACTGTGTATACGCTCAATGCATGCAAGTGTAAATAGGCCCAATGCATATCCAAATTGTACCAAAATTTATTTCAATTGCAATATTGCAATTGTACAAAAGTACAGTGCAATTGTTGGCTATATAACATTCCAGAAACTACTGTAATAATAAAATATATTGAATTTAATAATGAAAAGAGTTAGTGTTTTTGAGTTTGAGTGCCTGAATTATTTATTATTTATTTATTTTTTTTTTCCATTATTGTTTTATCTTTTCTCTGTTTTTCAATGCTCCCCACAAGTTGAATGAACACAAAAAGAATATACAATGAAAAAAAAAACACTAACAAAAACTAATATTAAAACTTGTCTTAAAAAATTTTTTTTTTCTGTTATTTTTGCTGTTTATCGAAAAAGTCAATAGCATTCAAGTGATTTTAAAGTCCGTCGCAAATTTTTACCTTCAGTTGCAGATTACTTACCAATCGAAAAAGTTGTGAAAAATTTAAAAAAGAAACGTTTTTTAAATAATAGAGGAAAAAAAGCTGCTTAAAATTAATTTTTACAAAAAAAAAAAAGAAAATTTAATTACGTAAAATAGAAAATAATAATAAAAAAAAAAAATAATCATAAAGTGCACATACATATGTACATATTTGTACTAAAGTTAAATTATAAATGAATTCAATTAACTCATATTTTGTATTTGAATAAAATTAAATAAGTAGTTAGAGACATCTACGTATTATGCTGTTAAACTAATGCCGAATAAATTGCATCAGGCTACAATATTCAGAGAGTAACGTAAAAATAATTTCCAAATTTAAATGTACATATACGTACTACACACATATATGTAGGTAGATCTAGTGGGGTATTGGATTCATTTTATGAAGGAAATTGTAATTTTTTTTAAAAATATTGCATTTTGATGTTAATTATTTAAATTTGATTATTATACTGCAATTGAAATAATTTTAGTACAATTTAAAATTTTCGGTTGTATGGTCATATTTTTTCAAAAATACCTTTTTTGTTGTCTTTCAAATATGAAAGGGCATTGCATTTAAAGCTACTTTTTGAAAATTACTTCCAATTATACATAATATAATTGAAAATAATCTGAAACTAAAATAATGTACAACAAAAAGAGAGAATACTAAAAAAGAGAGAGAGAATAATTAAATCAATATGAATCGGATCGAGTGAAACATATCTGAATTCGAAGTACAAACTATTCATCCATTGTTTTGGTTTTGCGAATTTTGTCGCTTCGGAAAATTATTTAATTCGTGGGCTGGTAGAATATATTCGGCATTAGTTAAAATATTTAATATTGAAATTATACATACATACATACATTAATTATTTTGAAAAATTTATTTAGATTTTTTTTTTTACATAAAATTATTATTACGCAGAATTTCGCGTTAACTATAGTTTTTTTTCCGAAAAATCAAATTATTTAATGAAATTAAAATCATTAAAATTTTAAATTGTGTATGCAATTTTTTTTTAAATTTTTTAATTTCATAAATATTTAATTTGCAAATCAATAATAATTATTTAATAAATGTAAAATTTTATATTTACATTTTTTGTTTGTGTGGGTGTTCCATTTGTATATGTTCATTTTACCTGAATACAGTAAATATATATTATGTATGTAACTACTTACATTTACGTAATTGTGTTCAACCTTGTATAATAATAGTTTGATCAATGAAGGAAACGAGAAAGTGTTTTAATTACTGTTCCTTAATAAAAAAGAAAAGCAAAATAATCATTTTTATGTGTGCATGTATGATACGTACTGCTTTTCAGTAATCTTTGCGAAGGAGGAGCGGAATTTTGATTCCAAAAAGAGAGAAAAAAAATAATTTTTTTTTTATTAGGAATTGGGAAGTTATTAAATTCACGGTAATAACGTTTTCCACAAAAATAAATTTATAAATTATACTGAATTAATTCATAAATTTATAATTGGATTCGAAATTGAAATTATAGCTGTATATCATGAACTTGTTTATGTATTCTTCTTTATGTATTATGAATCTTAAAAAAATATGTTATTTGGTTAGACAATTAATTTAAATTCGTTCTCATAACAGCTTTGAGTACAGATAGATACTCATAAAAATTTATTAATATATGCAAGGAAAAAATTAGAGCCTTGTCCATAATTCCCATATTCCCATATTATATCATACGTATTTACATTTAATAATTAGACTACCGGTTAATGCTTAAGAAACATTTAATCTTTTAAATTTCATTAAAAATGTTGATTTAAACGTAAATTTATCCAACCCAGCATTTACCGTTCGACAAATATCAAAATTGTGTCCTATGGACATAGGTACTACCTACTTGTTTATGCAGGTAGGTACTCACTTTTTAAGTACTACTTAAAATCAGTAAGTAAATCTTTTTTTCGAGATATCAGTGTTTTTTTCGATTTTTCTGCCTTACAGTTCACTTCCACATCTCAATTTCGCCCGACCAATTTTGATAAAATTTTATTTTCGCTTATTTAACTTTGAAGATCTAATGGGTTAAGTTAAAAATGTTCAAAATGGTTTCTAAAACAAACATTTGAAATTAATGTTTCATACTGATTCAAGAATATTAATTACAAAAATTCTTCAAAAAAAAGCTAATTACCATCATACTTACCAAAAAGAGTGCGATATTTCACATATAAGATATTGTTATTAACTGTTGAATGAACCTTTTATTTATTCAATTCAATTTATATTCAATGATTGATTTTAAAAGAAATTTTCTTAATTTATTCCATTTAACGATAAACTAAAAATTCAGAGCGTAAAAATTATATCATTTACATAAACTTCAAATTTAGATACATACTAATGTATACATATAATTTGAACGCAAACTGTAAATACTATAAGTAGTGCACATAAAAAACTATATTTGAAAAATATTCTAAAATATCGATTGAACTCTTTATGAATATAAAGTTTTTTTTTAAAAAAATATATTAAACACTGTAAAGAATATTAATAACTAAACTCTTATTTTATAGGTTGGCTCTACAGAAAAATGTAGAGTCAAGTGATTTGAAAAATTTTGCGATTGTGGTTGCTTCATATTCAATAGATAACGCATAACATATTCAATAAGATACAATAAACTATTTTTGGCTACTTTCATATTACATATGTATGTACATACATTTATGTCAAATTGCTGTATTTTCTATACCTGAGCTGCTGCTATTTTATAAGTTTCTGGAATATTTCTCAAATTCAAACTTGAAACTCAATAAAATTGAATAATTAATATTTGGATCCTATTTCTGAGAGTATTTCTGATTAATCTTTCTGTATATTTTCCAAAGTTCTTAAACGATAACTGTATTGTTAATTTATTTAATTTTCAATTACATATTTTAAATTAGGTACATTTTGGATTTGACGTATTTGATCGAAAGGAAAAAACAAAAGAAATATTGATTTGCTTTTTTACTATATTAATTTATAGTAAATCTACTGCATCAGGGAATTTTTCAAATTAATATTCAGGAAATAAAAAACCTACTTTAATTTGCAAGCTAGTTTTGAAAAGAAAAACATGTATGTAAAATTGTATGTGTATATATACATAATATGTATGTATATAAATATTATTTACGTTATATATAAAAAATCAATTTATGTATAATTTCTATAAACAAGTGCGTAAAAGTTAATAAAAAATTAAAACTTTTTATTTATCCTTGTTTTTGGCTTCTCTTAAGTTACAGTAAATATATAGATGAAAATTTTAAATTAGTGTTATACTTATGTTGAAATTTTGAAAAAGATTGTCAAAAATAATTGAATTATATTAAAAAAAAAGTGCTTAATAATTAAAATATAACAATAAAATTGTGGAAAAAATTGATGAAGATGACAAATAAAATTATTTTAACTGTTGTTATAACAGTTTTTCTATTTGGTAAGTACATTAGTCCTTATTATTTCTAATAGAATTTTAAATGATAATAAATTTTTACAATAAATTGATAATTTTTTAAGCAATTCAATTTTTTTATTTAATTATCTTGAAGACTTTTAAATTCGTTCTGAAATTCAAAATCAAGCCTCTAATTAGAGTTTTGTCTTATTTAAAGTTGTTAATTCAAACTGAATCTTTTGAAAATATGGAAAGTGGAATCCACTTTTTTTTTCTGTCAAAAGTGTTCTAAATGTGTTCGTTTAGTGAAAATTAAATGTTTTTTAATATCAAGCTTAGAATTTTTTCAAGCAATTATTTTTGAAATTTAATACTTTCAGGTTTTTAATACATATGTAAAATTTACTAGAATACGATTAAAAGGAAAATCTTAGACAAAATTAAAGTATGGTCCTCTATGGTCCGAGTAGATAGTTTTCAGATTTAAATTTTTAAAAGAAATTTAATTTAAAACATCTGGTTTTTCTCATAATCATTATAATTTGACAAGTTTTAAAATTATAAAAAAAAATGGCAACACTATAATTAAAAAAACGGATTTACCTTTCATCTATAAATCTACTGATCTGAGGTAATTTATAATATTGACAATTATACAATACTGTAATATTACACGTAATGTGAAATTGCCTTGTTTATTATAATAATAGTAGCCCATAATATTTTTTACACGCTTTTGCACAATACATACTTAATTTTAATGATTGCCTTAAGGGCACACATGTCTATACATACATATATGTGTCATAATATTTTATTTAACTACAAGTAGTACTATAAGTTATTTCCAAAATCTTTTGTCATATTAGATAATTAATTATTTAAAAAGAGGGAATAAAATGAATAAAGTTCAATTATAAAATAAAATATGAAAGAGGAAAAAAGTGTTTGAATACTGTAATTTCTTTTCGTAATTTGAAAAAAAATGTCATGTATATACATACAGATATATATAACGTATATATATATAGCATATATACATATGTGCATTTATATATATATATAAATTTACATAAGAAAATTGCTTTTAGTATTATTGCAGCTTACATTTTGATGTAGGCAAAGTTTAAATATTTTAGGTTATTGTTTTACTTGATAATTTATTTATGTTAGTTACGAATTTAGAGATTGGAATTTCTATAGATTTAAAAAAATCCAAATTAGGTATAAATCTCACATTTGCGACTAATGCGGGTTTGGCATAATGCAAAATGTAGGTTTTTCTAGCCGATAATAGATGTTACAAAAGGAGTAGTTGTCGAAAGAGTTGTAATACTTTGTCCTGTTTTTGATATTTGCGATTATTTTTACATCAAGAAGTTTCTCAACTGTACTGCTTTATTACAAGTTTCTTAACCGTACTACTATATTTTAAGTATTGCTACTTTTTAAAGGGAACAGTTTTTCGAATTTGCACTGTACTCGTACACATAATAGTATTCTTGTATCATACACCAAAAAGTTGTATTAATTGACTATTTATGTGTATGTATAAACATTATCTACTATTATAATTATTTCCTTATATTATGTATAAGGAATATCATATGTATGTAAATAACACAAAAAGGAAATTCGCGATGCTAATAATAATTTCATCTAATTCACTATTCAATTTACTCTCCCTTCTTATCCTATAAGAAGGAGAAATAAAATCCTATCGCTAGTTTTATACAGGCAATAATCTAGAAAAATCTTGACGAAAATAAAAATTTGCATCAACTGGGCTTTTTTTAATCAAAATCTAATTTAATAAAAAATTTAACAAGTAAAACAAGTATAAACGTTTACAGTCGATATTAACCGACCGAATTATACCCTACACCTAAACAATCTGAGTTTAAAAATTTGTTTTTAGAATATCTAGAATTAGTTTTTCTTGTTATATACCAAGTATTCGAACTTGTCGGATCACTCTATAGAAACTGCACGAATATGTCCGACCTAAAATTGGACACACGATTGCCAAATTTCATGAATATAACTTTATTATTTTTCCAAATAATCAAAATTTCTCCTTGGAGTTGTATGGCAGCTATCCGAACCCGTTGTCGAAATTGATCCAATAGCAATAGCAGCAGTCCTTGGTAGAATAGAAATAACATGTGAAAGATTGGTGATTGCATTATTAATTTTTGAGTTATCGTGCGATCGGACGGGCGGACGGACGAACGGAGAAACGGATTAGCGGACAGAAGTACTATACTCGTATAAACTCTAAATGTCCAAATGAACGCAAAATTTTACGCTGATCAAGAATATAATATGAGGGGCTCAGAAGCAGAGTGGCGTAAGCCACAATGTCGGTTATGCCACTTTGCTTTTGAAAAATCAGAAAATTTTTACAAAATCAGAAAATTTTTACAAAAGCAAAAATACTTTTGTGAAAAATAAATAGGAAAAAAGCTATTTCGAAACTGAAAACTAATATTACTGATTTTAGAATATGTACATAGCCGATTGCAGCAAAAAAAAAAATTTTTTTTTATGTGTGGCCTACGCCACTCTGTAGTTACACTAAGTAGTTACAAATTCCATACTGAATATACCCTTCACGAAGGTGCAGGCAGAGTATAATAAATAAAATATTTTTCAAAATTTGAAAATTTTTGAGGAAGTGCTATATTCGTCCAATATTATTAATTAAGTAATTGATAATAAATCGGTATAATTGCCTCTTAGATGATTATTTGCTATTATATCTTGTTTTGATTTTGCCTTGAAGTTTAAAGTAAAGGAAACTAAAACTATACGAAATCTGAACTGAATTTATTTTTGGGTATAGCAACAGGGGAAACTATAATTATAAAATGTAAAAACCGAATAATTTAAAAGAGAAAGGAAAATTAAGATTAGAAAAAAATTTTCACGATTTGCGTTTATTTTTTCAATAGAAAATCGTTATACAACGTCATCCTACAATGATTAGTTTGATATTGGTGCTGTGTAACGTATAATGAGATAAAAATATCCGTTTCCCTTGTTTTAGGGCCCATAATATTATTTTCTTCAATGAACTTGAGATTTTATTTTTCATCTTTTCTTTCATCTTTTTTTTTTGTTATTATTTTCTTTTGCTGGTAAGAATTATAATTTATTTAAAAGTACCGTCTTAATAAAATTATAAGATAGGTATATGAAAGCGAAAATTCATAATTACTAGAGCTATATATGTATATATTTGGCATATACAATTTTAAGAGTACATATATAATTTTAATTGTTTAATAGCAAAGTAAATTGTGTGTGTATAAAACTGTTACCTCAATTAATTTCACAAACAAAGAATTTTCAAAGGTTAAAAAAATTATTTTTTTACGATATCGTGCATTATTAAATAATAAAAGAATTGTTTGATATCAATCTGATCTGCACAATACTGAAAGTAAATTGAAATAAGTTCACATAAAAATAATATACAAGGTGTATCATTAATCAGCGTTTGACCCAACAATAATTAATTTGTTGTTCCGATGGCTTTTAACATTAAAATTTCTGTATCTTGTAAAAATAAAAATATATTGGAAAAAAACTTTCTGGAGTAACCAATGTTATAGTTATCCTGGATAAAATTGTTTGTGAATATAGATTTAAATTTACAGTTTTTTCCTCCTCATGTACTTTCGTGTGTAGTGCAATTCTCTGAATGTACGAACTTTGAATAAACGTATACAATTTTAATTCATGTGCCGATATCATTATAATCAAGATAACCAAGAATCAAGAGTGATTCAAGAAAATACCTGCGGCTAGGAACGAATCCAAACTTCATCTTTTAAAAAAAATGTCAGCACATTCTAATTTTCATATGGTTCTCATTTTATGAGATTGAAATTAATGTGGAATACTAAGTATGTCTAGGCATAAATAAAAATAGTTGAGGTTAATATTTTTTTACGGATTAAATTGCTCCCGCATTAATCTTAAGTACGAAGTATATTGTCACAAATCTATAAGATTTTTAAGGATATTTTTTTTTATGTCTTTGAAGATTTGTTTTTCTGATTCCCATTATTATTTTCAATTGTTTAATTTAATTTTGTTTTTGGTGTTTACAATTATACTTTGTCATTAAGAAGAAGATTTTTTGTTGTTTTGTAAAATGTTTGGTGCCCTTTTCATGCGGAATTTTAGATTTGATTAGGAAAAACTTTTCTGTTTTTTAATTATCCTTTTTATTGCATTTTTTTTTATGTTTTCAATATCCTTATGTTTGATAGAATCCTTTATCGTTTAAGAACAAACGATAATTACCAAAGAATTGCTTTTTTTTTTGTTTAATTTTTCATTTCTATTGTTTTTGACTTAATTAAAAGGAAATGCGCGATTTATTGTATTGGAAAATTGCCTGATAACCTTACCTTTTTTTTTATAAATTTGTTTGTGTAATGAGAATTAGAAAATTTACGGAATGTTAATTTAGAATTAAAATTTTTGTTTTTGTGTTTATTGTATCAGATTCAAATGATATAAGTAGGTGGCGTGTGCGTATCACGAGTAATTGACTTTTCGGTCAATTACATATGACTTGACAATTTAATTTCTGATGTTTGAATTAAGGTAAAATTACGGTTGTTTTTTGTTTTGAAAAGTTACAAATATAAGCAATATTTTGATTAGAATTGTAAGCCGCCCCTATAAATATCATAATTAGTCTAATTGTGTGTCTTGCATTTTTGTTTCACTCTCACTTTTTATTCACTTTCAAATCAGAATTCTCAGTTTCCTTTAGAAAAGGATATTTCCTTTTTCCAATAAGATTACTAATTTTTTCATTTGGATTTATGCATTTTCTCTCAAATTATCAACTGAAGGTCTCAGTTTTAAAAACAAAATAAATAAATTTTGTATATATTTTGAGAAAAAACGAGATACACAATACCGAATAATTCCTCTCACTCGAAAATTACATTATACAAAATATATAATAGTTACTCATTTTTTTCTCCCTTGCCGAGAAAAATAGCGAGATTTACGATCAGGCTCTAGTTCTCAGTTCAAAATATGCATTTTTCATATGAAGTCCTGTGTTACATGATTTTGTATTGGCCATATCCACTGTTATAAAATTCTATTTGAGTTATACATTCTATTTGAATTTAAAAACTTAAAAAATAAATAGTAATTTTGGCATAAATAGGTCACACTTTTGTTTTTTTGTAAAAAGAAAGTCTTTTTTTTGTTTTATTTATCTTCCCGACTTCATATTAATTATTTTTCACTTTCACTGATCATATAAAATATAAGTAATTAATTCATAGTAATTAATTTTTTTATTTTCTTATTTAATAAATCCACAAGGTAGCAAATTTTGTTTTTTTTTTTTTTTATTTATTAATTAATCTGAAAATAACATGTGACTTTGCAATCATTAATAATTTTATTATAAGCTTGTGATGTTAATGAACTTTTTAAATGCCCAACTGAACATAACGAAAAATGAAATTTGAAAAAATAAAAATTGTATTACTGTATATGAAAACACATACATACAATCATTAATACTAAGATTACAAAATGTGTATCTATAAAATAGGGTGACCAACTGTCTAACTATTCTCGGACATATGTCTTTTACACCAAATAGGTTTTGGGTGCTCGAAATGTTCGTTCGGTCTCCGTTTTGAATATTTGAATATATGTGAATATTACTACATCATTTACTACATTTTAAAAAACTATTAGTATGCCCTGTGTTGTATACGTAGTATTATTACACGCTAAAATAAGATAGCGATAACGCTATATACTGTTGAGATTTTTCATTAGTTCACACTTTCCTTTTTTGAAAACGCAGTAACTGCTTGTTAAATTGCTTTTGAAATGTTAAAATTAAATTGCTTTTGATTGCAGAACTATTTTTTCATTGAAAAAATCGGTACCATTTCTAACATAATGTTATCTCTTTTTCATACACATTCGCTTTCTCATGATTTGAAGGAAAATCTACAATCATTTAGCGAAAAAATGATTTTTGTCCTTTTTTTTTCTTATCAAATCATGGTCACTCTATATCCAAACGAATATTATGTGCTAGCATGTTACATAATATTATTAAAAATCACGATTACTATGAAAACAATTTTTATTTTTTTATTAAAATATATATGTATTTCTGCTAATGCTTCAAAGTTAGATCACCTTATAATGAGTTTAATCACTACAGTAAGCCATAAACTATTTTTTTAATACTAATTAATTAGTGAGCTACCAACAGAAAGTAGATTTATTTTCGGTATTACACATTCAAGTAATGTGCAATAATTTGAAGTAGTGCTATAATTTTTTGTTTCTTTAAAAAAATTTACTTCAAGACTGCTGGATTTTTTAATTTTACATAATATACATATATTTAATAGATATATAAAATTGTAAATGTAAATTCAAAATTGAATCTTTTTTATGAATCGTACAGATTTCTGACGTTCTGCTCTTGACAACATTCCGATTGTGGTTTCCATTATTGTAAATTAGAAATATTAGCGTTAGGTTAAATTATAAAAACAAAATGTAATTTGCTATAATGCACAATAACTTGCTATTTATTTTATTATATTTTGTAAAATATTCATAGAAAATATAAAGAGAAAAATTAAAATTAACTTTAAAAATTTTTGCAACACACAAAAGTAAACAAAGTTGTAAAAGAGATGGCAAAACAAATACATAAATAAAATTTAAAAGTAATTTTGGTAGGTAAAAAAAAAATATTTTCATTATGTTTGAAAATTCTTGTTGTGTACTTGTATAGCATATGTAAGTATGTAAATTTTCAATACGAATTATCGTTATAACTAGGAGCATGTTATGACTTTTATACAAAAATTTTGTTCTTTACTCAATATATTATCAAACATTAGAGATATGTCAGAATAGAGTTCTTAATGTCAGTGCTGAACTATGCATAAAGTGTGGTGGTTTCACAACGAAATTAGTTTATGCACTCTATGCAATATTACTCAATCGCAATACGAAATACAACGGAAACGAGATAACGACTATGGGATGTTTTGCGCCGCTAGTTTGAATTTTTCTCGAGAAAATACGAAAAATGTAGAAATACTTAAATTTTATCTTAATGTATTGCCTATATAATAACAAACTTAAGTAGTATTCACAGACTATTTTCTGTGACTTTGGAGAAAGAGAGGAAAAGTCAAAATTTAAATTTTATTTTTTCAGTTCATCATTATATCTTGCGCTTGTTTCAAACATAGTTTACTTTTTATTTTGACCTTTTATTGTTTTAATTTTGTTTTTGGACTATTGTGTATAATTTTTAATTTAACCTTTATTTAAAATAACTTTTAATTGTTTGAAATTTAATAAGTTTTTATAATTTACTTATCTATCTGATATATTTTTATTACAGATAATTAAATATGTACAATACAAAAAAAAAATATTTTTGCACCAAAACAGGTCATACTCAAAGTAGGTCACAGTAAAAACTACTTACTTACTTTTTCTTTAATGTTGCAACAAAACCTAACAATTCCAAATGTGAATTAATATTATTTTTTTTTTTGTAATATAATTGAAATAGTTTAGAATAATTATGGTTTGAGACAAGAAATTAATCACATTCAGTTTCAGATGAATAAAAACGAAAAAAAAAGGGTGGAGCGTTAAATAAAATTTTAAATGTTTATTTGTGAGGCGAAAAATGATGCGCGTGTAACATGTTCATAAAACAGAAAAAAGAAAACAATAAATGAGAAAAGAAAAGTTAACGAATAAAATTAGCGCTGTTGCCGTTCTTACTAACTGTGTTGCCGTTTAGTTTTTTTCTCCAAATTCTCAGAGTATTTTCACATTACTCTTACTTCTTTTTTCTCAATTTCAGAAGGAAAACTTAATATTAAATTTTTAGTGAATGCTAGAAAAATAAGAACTGACTCAGTCTTAAGCGAGCTGCGGAACTAGGATAATTATGTGATTCTTTTTTTTTCTCAACAAACACTTATTGAATGTGCTGCTTCATAAATTCAAAAACAAAAACAAAATTCCTGAAAATTTTTTTTTTAATGATATTTGAGTTTTAATTCAAATGAATGATGTAAGGTTGTCACCCTCTTTATTAGCTTCTATATATTTACATGGTTTGATGAAATAAAAGGATTTATTCTTTCTTGTTCAATTTCGTTACCCTAAAATTGCCTCATGATAATTTTTTTGCGAGCCCCTTCGAAAATTCTATAGAGATCTATATAAATGGGTGTGTAGTTCGTAGGATAAGTAGATATGCATATAAGCATAGAAGGTAACTGAATTGAACACATCGCGTATTCTAGATTTATTGTCAAAAATTTGTTATATATACATACATATAAGTATATATAACTTTATTTGAGTATAAATGTGCTTATATTGGTAATTTTTAAATTTCTGAAATTCAAAATTATTTTCCAAAATAAATTTATGTTGTTAAATTTTAAGTACGTACTTTTCATATTTGAATTGATAATAAGCAGATCAATTTGACATTAGGAAAAAAAAAAACAAAAAAACAGAAAAACAATATTAAAATCACAAATTTCAATGCGTTGAGTAGGCGCATTAAGTCACTTGATTTAGATCCCATTTTGACATAAGCACTACGCACGATGCGCCTATTTAGGTAGATGCTAGTTTTAGAGCGTACTTTTAAAGCGAATAATTTTGCTTTGAAAACTTTTGAATGGTCCCAGGTGGGGCTACCGCTCCAAATATCTTTGAATTGATTTAATCTATTATAATATTTTTACATAAATTCCCTAAATGTCTTCATTTATTTTTTGATTGTTGGGAAGAAAGTAATTTTCATTTTAATTTTTTAAGAAAATAACTTTTGTTTTGTGTTATTTAAAGCAAATAAGTCAAAAAAGTATTTTCTTATATTTGGCCATTTTTATTATTGGTACAATACAAGTTACAAGCAGACATTAAAGGAAATTTTGTGCAAAAGTTCTCATTTTTTTGTAGTATAAAAATTTTTATTCTTATAAACAAAAAATAGATTTTCCCTAAGGCCATTATTTTGTTATACACAAACTTATTATTATTATATGGTTTCTTTTTCAAAAAAAAATTATTTAAAAAAAAATGTGAAAGGTACGAAGATGAAGACATTGTTTGAAGTAGATTACTATTAAAAGAAGATTTTTAAAAAAGAGGTTTGAAAGAGTTGCAAGAGCTAATACCGGAGTTAATTAAAAATAGGAAATTATTATTTTAATACAAAAAAAAATCCTTACCATGTTTTTTAATTTCTTAAAGTATTAAGATATTTTAATATAGGATTTTTCTGATTAATGTAAAATTTTGAGTGGAATCAAAATTCAGGGAAATAAAGGAAAAAACATTAAAATTGAAAGAACGAGGAATAAATTCGAACTAAATCAGTAGTTTTCTGAAGTAGCAAATTTGCTTTGTAGAAGTAGTAATAAGTAATAACTTTCTACTTAAATTATTCTCTCTAATCTATTGGAAAAATTTTATGCAATAGGTACTTATTGCATACTTCTGGGGGAAACATAAAATTTAAATAATTTTAACACGAGCGCAGTGAAAATATTAAGATTATTCGCTTTTTAACAAAAACATCAACTCGATTTGGTTTAATATGCTCTTTGAATATGGATCGCCGAACAAGTTTAACAAGGCTTTAATTTTTTTCAACAAAAAGCTCTTAAATTGCATAACTGATGTCAAAATTATCAAATATGAATTTTACATAGCATTAACTTCCTCCTTTTGAATGAAAGATGCTGTATTTTTACAAAAATAAATGCAATTTTATTTTTCAAGTATCACCATCTCTGACATATTCAAACATTAAAATTTTTTTTTTATTCAAAGTACAACATAATATACATTTTGCTACAAACATAAATGTTTTTAAAATGTGAATTGTTAAAATAAAATTCACATAATACAAAATTAAGTTTAAATTTATTATATAAAATAAGGTACAATTGAAACGCACATTAAATGAGAGAATGTTAGGTATTTTTTTTCCTTAATAGCTTCTTTGACGTAACAACACCTTAGGTGAAAATATATTTTGATTTTCATTCAAATATAAATACTTACACATACATTACTACAGTTTTTTTTTTAAATTATATTGCGGAACTTTTTGTTTTTTAAATATTGTGTATTCATATTTGATCCATTTACCACCGTAATATTCAAATGGAAAAAATAAATTGAATTTAAAGTTGATGTGTAAAAAATAATTTTAGAGCTATTTTAAAGAGGAATGAATTCTTAATGTCAACACGAATGTTTTAAATGGGTTAAAAAGAGAAGAAATTATTTCTGATATAAAAAATATGCTAGATTTAGATATGTGCCGCATGTGTTTTTTTCAAAATATTTCCATAATTATATATTTTTTATTAGTGCTTGGTACGATTGAGATTTCTGAAACAATTCAGAATAAATTTAACAGATCTTTGTGCAACTAACAGCCGATTGAAATTTAAACAAATATATATATATATATATATATAAATATATAAATGGCTGGAGGCCAGACTAATTAAAATAATAATTGGATGGAGTGATCATGGAAGTAAAATAATTAGCAAACCGAAGAATATTTTGAAAAGGACTGAAATGAAATATTCAGTCAAGTAAAAATGAGGCGGCAATTCTAGATATTAGTTCTGAATAGAGAAAGAGAGAGAAGTCCTGTTAAAACTCTGTATGCTACTAAGATAGTATGAATAAACGAAAAATAAAATTTCTTGATTCCAGTAAAAACTAACGATGCCATTTTTCTGGAACAATTGAAGTAAATTTTAATGAAATTCTCCTTAAAATTAAAGACGCGTGCCAAATATTAACTGTTAATATTAGCCAATAAATTTTGGGTTGATTACCTCAGTTTTTGTTATTAAAAATCCAACATTGTCATGCAATTAATAACCTAACCGTTAATCATTCTATTTAAATTAAATTTTTTCTTTTTGTTTAAGAAAAACAAATAATTATTTTACAAGAATTTCTAAAATTTTAATAATTTAAGGCAAAGAACTTAAATAATAGTTTTTCTGCTCCAATAACTTTTAACAAAAGAAAGGCCGTGTAATCATAAATTTTTCTTTTCTTTTTAATATGAAAATATTGTACAAAAAAAAATAAGAGAATTTTAATGAGTTGTCCTCTTGGATAAATTAAAAAAGTGAAAAAAAATATTAAAAATAAGGAAAAATTCCTTTTTATAATGCGATCAAAATTAATGATTAGAATGGACGGACAATGGAATTACTTTTTTTTGTTCCATGTTATTGTTGCTTTCAATATTTTATCCAATAAATAAAGAATGAAAAAAGAGACAGAAAAAGTCAGATAAATGAAATGAAAATATGTTTTTTCTTTTTAATCCACTTCGCCTAGCGTTCTTCACCGGGCTTCTTTTTTACATAAACCATCATTTTCGTGATATTTAACTCGAGACATTTTTGAAGAAGTGCTACTAATTTTACATGATATGCTAACAACTGTAATGTTGTAAGTTGTAGGTCATTAGTCAACGTATAATTCTGAATGTCAATAATTATATATTAAACTTGAAAGTTCTCACCAATAATATTCCATCCTCAAGTCATATGTCCAAGAAAATAGGGATGATTCGGGGAAGTTGATACGTATAGATATTTTTAATTTACGTTAATAAGTCACACAATAAAACGCCAAAACTTTTTAATTTCTGACTGTGTAACTGTCAGACTCTATAACTGTGAAATTGGCTCAGAAATATGCTTAAATACAGTGACTTCACTTTTCAGGACTGTATCAGAATTTTGTTATAGTTCACACGAATTTAAAAAAATCCTCATAATCCTCCCAATCTCTTTTATAAATTGCAAAAATAATTAATAAAAAAAAATTGTTCCCGATGGAAATTATAAGATTGGAAATGAAAGATTAAAATGTTTTTTTTTAATTTAAAAAAAATCACTTCTTTCATTTTTTTCCTGCTTTACTTATTCTTGTACATTGATTATTAATTGCACTAATATAGAAGAAAGGAACTCTTAGAACTCTTTTTAAATATTGTGTATGTAAGCAAGCTTCTTATTACAGTAACATTTTGACAAGCTTTTATGCCGAACTGCCATAAAGAGAACAAAAATAAAAATTCCCCACTCCTTAAACAATAACAATTTTGAAAATTTCTTACATTTACGCAAATCCTGATCACTATATGCCACTCAAATTAATTATGATTGTGGTTTTTGCTAAATATTACTCGTATAAAAATTTTGTGAAAATTTTATGAACTAAATTAGTTCTCGCACTATCACTGAAACCGGTGCAGACATAAACACAGGCAAGCAGATATAATTTATTTTAACGCAGAATTCGTGTACATATAAATAATGAATTTTGTTTTTAGCGATTTGGACTACAAATATTTAATTTAATTTAACATAATAAAAACTAAATGATAGTAATTTGCATGAATTTATTATTAATACATACATACGTAGATTAAATTTTAAGCTTATTTAATTTTATTATATAACATTTTTCATTTCTTGTTGATTACATACATTATACATGTTCATGTATTTAATATCAACATTCTAATTTCAAAGCTACGTTTGTTGTATTAAATAATATTTATTTCAAATGAATTACGTACATTATTTATACATTTAATGGAAGTTCAACTTTAGTCTGACACAGTGGTAGGTAGACATTTTTTTGATAAGGCAAAAAATGAAAAGGTGATCACAATTATGATTTTAGTGGTATATTCCAAACTTTAGCGGGAATATTGCCAATAGCATGCCCAATGTTAACTTTTAAACAAGAGATTAATAGAGAGATTATATGATCTCGGTGGCCAGTTGCCAGTTAATAGGTTCAAGATGTTAAATAAATTTCCTAGCGAATGTGTTCTTCTAAGAGTCCATACTTTTATGTGTTGCGTGGCATATATTACTTCAACCTGCAGAAAAGCTTATCGCTTAGGACTGCACATTTTTAAAATTTTGACTAATAGCGACTAAAATATTATTGAAGGCAACATTAGGGTCAGCGTCGCTATGACATATAATCTGTGTTATTTATAACCGATTGAATTGTGTTCTAATTTTTATAAGTTTATCATTCTGTTTGTTAATCAATTAAATTAAATTTTCAAAAACGTTTTATAACAGTAAAAACTAGAATTTGTTATTGATCGGGAGAATGGTCCCGGGAGCTGTGAAGACTATACAATATCTGAATTTATTGTAAAAGATTATTTTAGTAGAGGGTCATACTATAAATACTGTTGAGGTTTGCATTATTCTGCCGTATATTTTTAAAAAATATATGAATTCCTGTATCATGAAACTTTTAGAATTATTCAATTGTATGGGTATCACATAGATGGCATGATTAACTCTATCTTTTCTCTTTGGTTTTTTTTATGATGTTAAAAGCAAGTACTGTATAATTTTTTTGTAATTTCCTGAAAATGTCTTCTTTTCATATTATATGCTTGTATATTGGAACAAACTATTTATTGTTCAAAACCAATGTTATAATTCAAAGTTCTCAAAAGACTATTAATCAAAGAAAAAATGAGAACGCGCTATATATACATATAAATATGTAAATAGAAGAAAATTTATGAAAATCTTTTAAAATATTTCTGATTTACATAAAAAAAAATATTATGTACATGTGTGTGTATGTATATAAGATTATTATTTGTGTATTCTACGATAGACTATATGAGATAAAAATATTTGCATTTATCTTCAAATTTATGACGCTCACGTGACTTGCACTTTCTAATATTTTTGTTATCCTTACAAAATTTTTTTTGCTCTCAGTGTGTTTCATTTTGTCAAACAGTAAAAATATGTTTTTGTCCTTTGTACACATTTTTTTTTGTTTTAAGAATTTTGCCTTCGTTTTTAGTATATTTTTAGTCTAATGTAAATAAAAATTATACTTAAATTGCATAGATAATCACAGGAATTTTTCTTTATAAATAAAAATATTGTTATATTAACCGAAAAAATACCCTTTTAAGCCAACAGAAAATAAAACAAAAATTTTCTATTTGAATGGTTTGCATTTTTAATAGTTGATTCGACTTTTTTTTTCTCCAAATCTATTAAAATTAGTATGCGATGCGTACATTCCAATTATATTTTGTATTTTGATTATTTGTACTTTGTATTATAAATCTTTAAATAGTCGGGGTTGTTCTATTTCAGAAATTTGTATAAAACTTATACAAAGATATGAATTGTTTGTAAAGTTTGAACGACAAATGGCACAACACTGCTGTTATGCGTTTTTTACAGGAATAGGGCACTTCAAACTACTCCGAAACAGTTAAAAGTAGTTTGTAAATGGAATGCTATGTTTTTTATGGAAATTTTGTTATGTAGGAAAAAAACTGAACCTATAAATTTAAATATTGAAGGTTTGAAGTCTATTGTCCATACAAAAATTTAAAGCCACCTGTCGGAATAATTGCTCAATTACTCTTCTAGATAATTTATTAGTCAGAGGGCACATTAACATTACTCTATATAGGAATATTAACAGCTTCTTCTCAATGCATCACAATAGTAGTGATGTCTCAATTTCTCATCTTCTTTTTGCACAATCTGCCACCGTTATTGCGTACGTTAACTAAGTCAAAAGTGATTAATAAGAAAACGAGCCGTCATCCTAGCCTCCTTCTTGTCGTACCCCAACAAATCATATTTACCGTTCCGTACCGTAACAGAACAGTATTGGAGGGTTCTGCCTGCCTCATTTCCAAACCATGATTTTAGAATTCCTACTGCCACCTCATTCATATTTCTTATATGTCAACTGTTTTATGACAACTAACAATAATTTAACATTTAAAAATGGTTTAATTAATAATCTCAAAAACTATTGAAGTTAAATTTATGATAAACTTCATTTTTATATGTAAATACTACTGTGACATTTCAAATAATAAATGAAAACGACATTAAAATAATTTGATGTTATATACTGGTACATTTATACTTTCTTTTGCAGAACAAGCTCATAGTCAACAGTTAAAAGGTAATCAGGATGATCCATGTAAATTAAAATCACGTGTTGTTAGTGATGAAACCTATTGTGACAGATATTGGGAATGTGTTAATAATCAACCAGAATTGTATGATTGTCCGAATGGTTTAGTATTTGCAGGAAAACATCGGGGAGTAACAGAAGGTTGTGATTATCCATGGCGTGCAAATTATTGCAATGGCAAGCAGTTAGCAAGTGAGTTTTTTCTTTCTCAATTATTATTATTTTTGTCATTCTACTACATATATTTAAATTCTCTTTTATTGACTTATTTGAGTTTGTGTAAGTTTATTTACATGCCATTTTGCCAAGACCCTGTTTAAACGTCTAAAATAAATTAAGAATTAAAATAATTTTCGGCTTTAACAATTAATAGTTGGTTACATTCGATGCTATGTTTACAAATTAAATGAAAACAAAAATTTTTAATAAATTTGAATACTTTATAAAAAGTTGAACGAGAGAGATCAAATGATTTTAATTATAGGTACATGATTTATAATAATACTTATTATAGTGTTACACAACGAACTGGTAAAAATGTAAGGTAATCATCAACTTCAATTTGTGCTATTGATTTCAGGTATTTTCAAATTCATGACTTGTTTGAGTTATGCTTACCTACTTGAATTTAATTTATATGGTTTATGTTTTTTAATGAGGAATTTATTGAACATCATTTGTGAAAGTTGTTACAAATACATTCATGCACTTTATGTATGATGTCCGGTCACTATTTCATAATATGCTTACACTTTCATGACGAATATAATACTACACATGCAAACTTAATTTAAATATTTTAAGCCTTGTAGTATGGCAAAAAGTGAATAAAAAACTTGCGGCAGGATGAATTAAAATAATTTTTACAATAAAAATTTTTGATTCCGTGAAATTATCTCACTAAATTGATTTCATAAGCGTAATTTTTTTGCCGCATTGTGTGCGGCAGATTAAGATGAAATTCCAAAAAGTTTCGAAGAAATTCTCGACGTCCTTTGTTTTTAATTTTCATAAAAATTTAATTGCGTTATTTCATTTTAGATGGTCCCATTTCAACTGAACACTGTGACTGGCTTTATGGAATATTTGGACATGAAACATCATGTACTCGTTATTGGACATGTTGGAATGGTACTGCAACTGAACAATTATGTATTGGTGGTTTATTATATAACGAAAATGCTCATAGTTGTGATTGGCCTGAAAATGTCGATGGTTGCCAAAAACATCGTAAGTTTATTTTATATTTCTGCGTTATAAAAAATATTATAAAAAGAGGAAAAATTACTTCTTAATATTTTTTTTTAATTTTCAAATTTTTTTACTGTATCAAATTTACAGCATTATGTAATGACGATGCAAATGGAAATGTTGCATTAGGAAAATCATGCAATAGATATTGGCAATGTCAGGGTGGTTATCCACGATTACAAAGGTGTCCAGCTGGACTTGTTTTTGATAAACATTCTTTAAGATGTGTTGTTCCACCAACTGAAGATTGTGAAGTTCCAACAACTCAAGCACCTGTTGAAGAAGAAGCTGGTCCACCTAATAACCATAACTCTAATCAAAATAGAAAAAATCAACAACAATTACAAAATTTAAAAGATGAAGGAGATTCAGAGGTACTTTTTTTAAGAATATTATTTTTTTATTTAGATCAGCTCGATTCAGAGAGTAAACAAATTGTATTTGTGTAATTTTCGAATGTTTACGAAAATACCATTTAGTTAATTTATAATATTGTCGACCTCTGATTTATTTTCTCTTTTTTAGATTGAAAGTGCCCCACAATTACCACTTCAAAGAAAGCATCCACATAGGCCAAGAAATTAGAAATATATGAAAAGTAATAACTAGTTTTCATAATCAATCAATAATGTTCTACGGAAATTTTGCTGTTGAAAAGTGAAGTAACGGAATTCATTTTTAATTTTTACAATTTGGATTTTATTTTTTTCGATATTTTTTATTCATCATTTTATAAAAATTCTTATTTATAATTTTTCTATTTAGAATTTCAAGAAAAAAAATCAAGTAAATTAATTATAAATTTTTATAAATATTTTTTAGAATTAATTTTTTTTTAATTTTGTTTTTGTAATAATACATATATGTAAGTATGTCACAAATAATGTCGTTGGAAATTTGTACAAATAAATTTGTTTTTTGTACATATGTACATACATAAATACATAATTGAAATAATTTCAATAGAAAGCAGTAAGTATGGTCATTGCCATATATATCTGGCCCGTTTTCAGTTTCTAACTTCTATTTATAAACCAAGCATGATTCGTTGAATCGCACCCTTGTAATGGGAAACATTTTGCGATTTTTTTTCATGAATGATTTCGCCGCCAGTATATATTCAAATTTTCAAAGAAATATACAGTATATAAAATTTTGAGTGCAGAACAATCAACCTATTAATAAAAATTCGTCGAGATTACAAGCATTTTATCAATTCCAAAAAGGTGTAACATTAATATATGAAATTGAATTTTTTATTAGATAAGAATTGGTGTAAGAAACATACTTGTATGAAGACTACTTCTACTCCGACAAACTTTGCATGAAGAAAGAGTTAATTAAAAAGTTACTTCAACTACATTCCCTAAAAAATTAAATGAGTGTGAACTGAAAAGAACATTCTTACGGCTAACTTATGATGCGGTGTACATCAATGAATTGATGACCAGGGAATTATATATTATATAATATTAATTGTATGCTATTGTTTAAGCGTATAGGATTTGAACTGAATTAAGCAATATTCTGTTCGTCTGAAGTTAGATATTTTTTAACCGAGAATTGATTGTTAACAGAGACACTAAAGAAATTATTGCAAAAAAGAACTATCACACGTTCATTTTTTAATATTTGTGATAAGCGTTCTCTTACACAGTATTACCAAATACTAAATTATTCAAATCGCCCGTAAGTTGTCAAATATTGTTTTTAAATAAGCAAAAATTGTCACATATTGTGTGATGTAAACCACAAGGTGTACAAAAGATTCTACTCGAATTCAAATAATGAGATTCAAATGGCAAAGTTCCTCTTCGTTAAGAGGATTTCGATATGAATTTAATTTGGAAATAGTGTATATAATATTTTTGTATTAAATGAAAGTGTTGAACATATAACATGCGAATTCTAAAAGGATTTAATAGCAGTAGTTGTTATAAAAGTTATTGATTTATTCACTTTGTAATATAAACTTTTTATAAAGTTAAGAGCTATAGTTTATCAAACTGATATCAGTTATTAGATTATCTAGATAAAATTAATAAATCATGAACATGCTTCAAATTTTAAATGTTTTTACCATACTTTTATACAATGGAATGGTTTTCTCAACACAAGTTTTTGTTGTTCAATCGTATACAAATCCTAATCCTCTTTTGCGATATAAATTTAGGGGGATTACAGTAAAATAAATTTCTATGCAACTTTTATTTAAATTGAAACTAGTTTAAAGTGAGATATTCTAATAAATTTTTGAAATGGTAACCAAATATGGGTAGTAAAGCATTGTTAGTTTGCAAACTTGTTATTAACAGAAAAGAGTAAGAGTGAGCATGTCTAATAATGGGTTTTTGGGCAATGAAATAAGAATTTAACAAAGACTAACAATTATAAGACATAAATAAAAATAATACAACAGTAAAAATTTTTTTTTGAATTTTAAATAACTGCTTTGTAATGAAGGGGGTATTGCAGTGGGTCCGATATCATATGTCACGTGTATGTCATATGTCAAATACAAGTAAGTAAATTTTTTTTTTTTAATATGTTTCTGTCGTTTCTATCATTGTACTCGTACATTTAAATTTCGACTGAACCGGTTCAGCTACCACTTTTGAAGGCATGATAGTTAGAAAACTACAAAGGATTTCTTGGAATTGAAAATAAATGTTTTAAGGACATTTGCTTTAAGTTGTGTTACACGTTCGTTAAACTATTAAAAATATCATATATCATTCAGAGAATACACAATGTTTTGTGTTTGTGGCCAGTTATGTGCAGGCCACATCTATTTTTTTTTTTGTTTTAGCATTGTGAGTTTGGAGAAAATTTTTTTTCTTAAATAAAAAAATAAAAATATTTTGTGCATTTCAGAATATTCAACTGACAGCATAACTGACTAAGAGAGTATTTCCAACCTCTTTTCCTAAGAGAGGAATTTCTATAATATTGTTTCACGAATCATTGGAGAGAAACCTATTTGTTTGAAATCGAAAATAAAAATTTATTATGCATTTCGCCAAATTAATAAGACTATTGATTTGTTGGAATTTGGAATACAGGAAACAGAAAACGAGATTCATTTTATGCTGATCCTGTCAATTTTTTTTAAATAATTTTGAATTTATTGTGCACATATAAAATATATACGAGATGGAGAACGTAAAACTTGAAATCAAAGTATGTGCTCATTAATAAACCTTGAATTTAATTTCAACTTTCCTTTAATTTTTCTTTTTTGTGAATTTGACATTTCGTTTATCGTTTGTTTTCTTTTTTTTTGCAGTTGTGGTTTGTTGATAAAACTATTAACTTTAAAAAGGTTGCAAATTTTTGTTTTCATGGACGTTTGCTTTTTACTTAAAAGTTTTGTGCTTTTTCATAACAATACTTGGAACTAAAAGGGCATTTTGAAACTGGTATGTTTTATTTTTTAGTTCTTCTATTTTATATGAAAACCAAGCTGCATTGCTTCATATTTTTGGTTTTTATAATATTTCTACTATAACAGGTAATAGTATGCTTTTTCTAAATTGCATAGATCATAAATAAGTTGGAAACAAAGGATTCTTGAAAAGTTTATGTAAAATTAAACAGTAAAAAAAGTAGTTACGTAGGAATTTTTTTTAAATTCCAAATTCTGTAGTTGCAAGTATAAACAAAGCAAACTTGTTATATTTTTACATAAATAAAGATAATTTTTTTGTATACAAAGAACATGTTATAAAATGTAGTCAACCAAATTTGGTGTATAAAATTAAGCACATTAGGTTGCCGCTAATATTTAAACGGCTTCAGCTTTAAAAAATTTGAGAACAATTTATTGAAACAAACTAATCCTCTTTTGCGATATAAATTTAGGGGGATTACAGTAAAACAATGGACAGGCAGAGTGCAGCTGATTGAGACGTCTTTTTTAAGAAATTGAAATGGCTAGAGTAAATACAGAGCGCTTTGTTTCTTCAGCACACTTTATTTACCTTAAAATATTTTGCTGAAAAAGTTTAAAATACACGGTAATTTTTTTCATTCCGCTTGTACTTTAAGTTTCCATTTTTAGCACATTACTATTTCCTTACCAAAAATTACTATTTGCTTGCACATTAGCTACCTGCCCAGTAACATATTGTAAATATTTTAGGTAAATATTTTGTTGTTAGTATTCCTTGAACTTGTTTAATGTAGAATGAGGGCTGATAATTTATTTCTTCTGTCTTAAATTCTATCTAATCTATGTAAAGGCAATGTAATAAATAGTTTTCCGTTTCAACTCTTCAAATTTACACTTACTAATGTTTAAAATAATGTTTGATGTAATTTTTCTTCTAAACAGCAAGTCGCAGAAGTCTGCAATTGTGCAAATACTTATCTAGTTTTATCAAAAATAAATTTTTAGTCCCCTATATTTTTGGCACTTAAGTTTCTGTCAAAATTCCTTAAAAACATCTTTAATTACCTAACCATTTTTTAGTTTGATAAAAATTTTGCTAGTTATGTTACTTTTTTGAAAATTATTAGTTCTCCTAATATTATGCAAAATTATATGATATTAAAAAAAATTATTTCAACAGAGAATTATTATTAAAAGTTTGTGAAAATAAAAGTAATAGACTTAAATTATCAAAAAAAATGTGCTATTTTATAAACCAAGGGTGTTCGTTCGATTCCATTTTTATTTTACTTATTTAATTTTTAATATTAAATACTACTGTGTCTGTATTTTAAATTTTATATAAACTAGATGGAATTAGTGTAGGATAAAATAGAAAAATTTAATGTAATGTTTGTTAAGCAGCCCAAGCCTAGATAATTAAAATTAATTGCTATAAAATGAGTTTTACTTCAATGGTTTTTGCTTCAATATAGTAAAAAGCAAGTCTGTCTGCATTATGTTTTATATTACATTATAATTACATTATATTATTATACGTTTATTGAAAAATATGGAATAGAATTTATAAATATTAAAATGTAACAGCAGAGCTTATATTATAATTAATTTATTGGTAAAGAAATTAATGAAAAGTGATTTAAAATATTGGGAATAGTTAAGATTATTAAAGTTTTTGAATACGATAAAAATTTCTGTACGTTAATCACAAGAATAATTTATTCAGTTTGTGAGAGAAAGTTAAGTTGAAGCTCCTTACCCAGTTGAATTTTCATCGAAAAACGGTTTTTTTTGAGAATTGTTACTTATTTTTAAAATAAAAAAAATATTGCATAAATTTTGGCGATCGAGTAAACAATAAACAAGATTTTTTTTATTGTAAAAAATAATTTTGAGTTTTCATGGGCATTACGCTGTGTTTTAGGTGAAAAATCTGACTGCCGACCTTGTGTATGCTTTGCTGAATCATATATTTACATAATCTTCAAATCAAGAATGTTGTAATACATGGAGGATTTCTCTGACTCTGCCAATTTCTTAGTTAACAAACGGAGTGGTGAATTTCTTATTCAACATTCTCAGAGCACTTATTTACCATTACAAAGTGATGAACGTTCGTACCAGTCCAAATAAGGAATATATAAAAGTACAAAATACACAATTAGAGTTGAAAATTCTAAAATGGTCAAAATTTCAAATGAAATCACCAAATCTGATCTGTCATATTATGGTCATTTTTATCAATTTTTCAATAATAATAATCAGCATATCAGAATGATAAAAACTTTATGCACTTTATTAAATCATGTATAAGTGTCACGCTTATATTATTTTGTGACCAAACATTTTATACTGGTCTACTTACACTGTCACTAAAAATACATACTCAATGTAAAATCATTTATTGAAGTTATGTAAAAATGTATTTTACACTAATGTAAACATAAAATAATAGTCAAACTTAGATCACGGACAAATAAATATGAAAATATTTTCAAACAAGTATTCTTATCACTTAAAATTTTACTGACATTTATTTTCAAATGATAAAAACATGCACAAAACTACAATCAAGGCGCTCACAATTTCAATTATTAATTTTATAATATTCACGTTTTTACAAGTACATGCACTAATATAAATGTTATCAATTATTTTTTCTATACTTTCTAGTTCATTTACGTAATATTTTTGTAAAGGGTCCGGATTTTTCATCACAGTGTCAAAATATTTGAAGCATTGATCAATTTGGTATGTACCGAATCGAACCAAATTTTGTTGTTTAAATTTGGGCTAAGTCCAGCATGTTCTTTTGCTTTATTACCGCGGAATGTATGTCCATACAATTTTTAAAAATATAAATTGATTATGTTACTAACTATTGCCACAGTACTTGAGTTAATTAATAACTGGTTTAATACATAAGATAAAAATGATTTGCATGCAAAGATATTTGTCTTGTAATGTGATTATAGGAAACTTATTATTCCTGAAATAAAATTTAAAAAGTCGCCATCAATTTCTCTCCCAATAATTTGTATGCGATCATCATAATAAACTCATACCTTTAAATTCTTGTGATTTCAAGCCTGAACGCCGGTTAAACTATAAAGTAAAATGATAACCAAATATCTTTCTCATATCAAATTTCATTTTCAATTTTTTATTGTTTTTGTTTATGTTTTTTTGAGTATAGTTTAAAAGCTTTTAGGGTCTCTCAATTTTTATTTTATCAAAATATAAAAATTTAGCGGTTATTATAAAACTTGATTTTCGTTTTTAATATGAAATTAGAAAATTATAATGGTCATCATACGATGAAATATGTATAATAAGTAGGTCGCTTCGAAACACAAATTTGACATAATTATATCCAAGATTTGACAATTATGTCAATTACTTCGATTACTTGATTTAGCGAATGACAGCACTTTGCCATTAAGTCATTTTTGTTTAACCTGCCAATCATCTACTGATAATAATTTTATTTTTGTAAGAAAAATAGGCTCGAATGATCGTCAATTGCGTTATTTAAGTATTTTGAAATTTGTAACGCTTGTTTCACGGTACCTCGAAATTTATTATTAACGTCATTTCTGGCATTTGACATTCTAAGAAATTCCCATATGTATGTGTTGGCGGGATTTGAATAGATTTTCGTTTGTTTCTCTAACATATGGGATGAATTTATATTGTTTTTCAATTGAACACTCTAACGGAAATTGGAACAACGAAAAACTTTATCTAATTAAGAAGGTAAGTTCCTATATACATTATTTATTTATGCATGTATGAGAAGAGAAAATTATATGAAACAAAAGAAAGAGAATAAATAAAGCAGATTGTGGTTTTTTGTTGTGATGATTAGTCAAACATTGATATTTGTATACTGACAGTATAAATATTCTAGTACATACGTATGTATATTGATATTCCTTTTAAAACGAAGAGAATCGCGTTAGTTTATTTCTTGTCAAACTTTAGAATTTGCTGCCGGATTTATTTTAATTAATTGCTAACAAGTGCGAATTTCTAAATAATTTAAGAGCAATTGTGTGTTGTTTTATACAGTTATAATTATAATTAAGTGAAAGTGTAGAGAAAGTTTTTGGAGAATAAAGTGAGTTTCAGAAAAAAAATTAATATGTAAAAATATTAAGTATAAATATAAAATTGCATTGTAAAAACTGTGTATATACATATGTACATACATATGTGTTTACACATATAACAAGTGTAATCTCTAATGGATATATTGAAGTCTTAAGGACTTAGTCAAAATACTTGTTATAACAAAAAATTACTTTGGCCATTTCAACTCTTTGATATAAGTACAAATTTTTCGAAGTCACAGAAATATAAAAAAATATCTATGCAGCCCGTATCAAGGGTTGTTTTTTAGGAATTCTGCTTTGTAAAATTGTAACTTAATTTAGCTCGGGTAAAATCTGAACCTTTCGGTTTGAATAGTTTCCGGGACATGACTGAACAGTTTAGCATCTTAGGAACAGCCTGTTTTAGGTACCTGTTTGGTTAACCAAATTTGGTTAACCAAACTTCATTTCCCAATTGAGTTCATATAGCCAGTAATAATAAAAATTACTGGGTGATAACGTAGCATTCATCAAATTTTAGCATTACATTTTATTTTTGTGCTTAGTAATACTCCTTGATTTCAAATTTGCAGTAATACAAAATCGCTAACGTTGACAAGTAATTTAAATATTTTCGTCTTTATAGGTAAATGTAATAAAATATTTTTCTACTAGAAAATTACAATGATACCAACATTTGAAGAAACTTTTACTCTAGCTAAGTCAAATTATGTAAAAGCATTTGGCAAAGAACCAGAAATTGCAGCTTGTGCTCCAGGACGTGTTAATTTGATTGGCGAACATATCGACTATAATGATGGATTCGTTTTACCAATGGTAATTGTTCTTTTTTAGTATATTTCTAATGTGCTTATTAATTCATTTCTCTGCGTCTGCCTGCGTATATAATTTTTCTATGTAGACAAAATTTCAGCATAAGAAGATGGAATTTATATAATAGTTTTAATTTTTATTTTAATCAAATTAGGCTTTGCCAATGGTTACGATTATAGTTGGAGGAAAAAATGGCACGGAATCGACAGTAGATTTGGTAACTACTTGCGAAGGTGCTGATCTTCCGAAAAGGGATTTATTTGATACAAAAAATTTGGTCCCTTCATTTCCAAAGTAAGTATTGTTTTCATTATTATGAGATGTTTAGATTGACTGGTGTTGTAAAGAAATATTTTAGTTATGCCTTTCGGCTACAGTTTATAGTGACTACCTGAAACAAAAATGTAGTCTAAGATTTCTAAAATTATTAGTAAAGTATTGATTATATACCTATATTTTTATAGATGGTCAAATTATGTGAAAGGTGTGTTAGCTTGTTATGGTCAGCCTGTTCCAGGTTTTAATGCACTTATTGCAACTAATGTTCCAGTTGGTGGCGGTTTATCCAGTAGCGCAGCATTAGAAGTGTCTACTTTAACATTTATTGAACAACTAACGGGAAAATATATCGAAAGGTTTGCATACTTTACTTGTCACTAAATTATTAACAAACTAAGAAAAATATGTGCGTTTAACAATAAGTGCTGAAATGCGTGTTAATATTCAGAACGTTAATTGATATTTCAGAATTATATAAATTAATGTCAGTAGTAAGTAGTGTCGAATGATAATTTTGACAATCAGTTTTTTTGTTTTGTGGTTAACTTAATTTTGGGGTGAATTATTTTTTTATTTATGAGAGTAATTGTTTAGATTTTCAGAAATATGAGAAGTGAGAACTTTTTTGTTGGACTTAATATTTTTATTCTGGGTACACACCCTAATTTTATTCACGCCATTTATATTGTCTTGTATGTTGTTATGTTTACACATATATATGTATTTAAATTTCTTTTGGCATAAGATGTGAAACTGACCAGATTTTTAAGGTAGTTATGTCCAAGTACTTTATAAAAAATATTTCTATATTATTTTTTTATGAAAACATGTACATACAAAGATGTTTATAATAACACGAAGTTTATTAAAATGGCTTCCATAAAAAAATTAAAAATTATGGGGAAAGTTACACACCATTGAATTTTCAAAAAAAATTTAGAAAATTGATAATTAAAATTCATTAGAATTTTTACCAAATTCAATATTTTAAATTCATAATAATATTGATATAATTAGACTAGAAATTAATACGGGATTAATTGAATTTTTATTAATTAAGTTAGCAACGAAGGTTTTGTTTTTCTTTTTTGAGAAGTAACGTACCTTTGTAAATATTCGCATGACAAAAGGGGGATGATGAGAATAAAGAGTAGACTTTTTGTAATCATTCATGTATTTAGTTACTTAAATAAATTTTATCGCATTCATTTGCTCGCCATTCCAAAACTGTAGCGAGTTTACAATTATAATGGCTGTTATTTATGGCTTTTTGTATTTATATTTTTGGCACCGTGTACACGACGCTGTTGTTAACAGTTGTTAAAATGTTAAATTAATTCAGTTTGGTTAACGATTATGCAGGAAGAAATAGAGCTTTTAAATGACTAAATTGTGTTGTAATCACTGAGTGCTGTTGAAACCAATGAATTCTGTTAGGAGCGTGTAGGCGCCTTTCGGTGTGATACAGCAGCAATAGCATTAACAGTTCAATAGCAATAACAGTTTCACGCTATTGAATACCTAGTTCACAGATAACATATTCTTAAGGGTATATATAGAGAAAAATTTGATTTTAATTTTTTTTATTGTATTTCAGTGAGGCAAATAAAGCTTTAATATGTCAAAAAGCTGAACATACTTTTGCTGGAATGCCATGTGGTATAATGGATCAATTTATATCGGTAGCTGGAAGAAAATCAAATGCTCTATTAGTAGATTGTAGGTAAGTCAAAAGTTTCTTCAAATTTTTAACTTCCGATTGTCTGCCACTGACTTTTCTCGAATAATTAAAAGCCGCCACTCGAATTTTTATATAAATAGAAAATATTATAAATTACATTTTCTTTTTCTATTTTAGATCATTGGAAACATTTCAGATACCATTCGAAACAAATGATTTGGCGATATTAATTTGTAATTCAAATGTTCGTCATGAGTTATCTGATAGTGAATATCCGACTAGAAGAAATCAATGTGCCAAAGCTCTCAATTTAATGGGTCTAAAAAGTTATAGGGAAACAAAAGAAGAACATTTGTCAGGTAAATTAAAATAAGATAAACCATAAAAAAATTCATATTTTTTTCAAAATTTTGTTAATTGTCCATGAGCTATTTATAGAATTTGTCTGATGAACCAATAAAATTGTCGCCAGGGATTCCGGTTCCTGCAATTTCACTTCTACTACGCACCCTATTTACCTTTTTTTCAGAAATATATGCCAAACCGATTTATTTTTTATTTAAATTTTGGTTGTATAAAGAATGAACTAGTAATTTTCTTTGCGAACGTGAGGGCTCAAAAACTGAACTTTCACTAGTAGATTAATGAAATGAACAACCCTTATGAGTGGATTAAGAAATTGAATTTCTGGTTCTTAATATTTATTTTGCCAGTTCTCTTTTCCGATTCTTTCCCAACTTATTAAAAATATTTTATACTTAATCGTCTCTTAGGCATATTTTAAATTAACTTAAATTTCTTATAAAAATTTTTATTTTCAAAATTATGTAGACTATATGAATTAATTTGCACTTAATTTTATCTTTAAGTATAACTTTTATTGGTTTCGGTTCATAAGTTTTATAGGTTTGTTTACCTGTAAAAAGTTTAAGTCTCCTTTTATATTATTTTTACCATGCTTCTTCGTATGATATGGTGGATAATATAGCAATAAAAATAAAAATTTGAAATTATTTTTTGTTCAAAAATTTTAATTCTTATAATTGCATGCTATAAGGAGACCGAAGTTACAAAAAAAAAAATAAAAATTTCATTGTGATGAAATTTGAAATAACATTGAATTGGAATTTTAATTTTTAATTTAAAAAAGTTTTCTAAACTGATTTCGAATAAAGTCTATAAACGGAACTAATAAAATTTAATTTATATTATTTGTGGTGCCATTTATAAAGACATTGATGCCATTTTTTTAAAAGAATGAAGTCTATAAAATCTATATCTACCTTATGCTTTGATAGTTGCCATATAAAATTGCATAGTTTTAGGATGAATCTTAAAATGAGAAAGATTTGCTTATATTGCTAGTTGACTAATTTCACTTAGTTGATGAGAGTAATCTTTTAGCATTGAACAATTTTAAACTTTAGTTTTATCTCTTACACATACTTATAAGTTATCGCACTCCGTTGTGATGCCTCTACTAACGTAAAATAAGTAAAATATATATACAAGATGTTGATTAATTTCCAGCATAGGAAATTACATTACTGGACGGGTTACAGGAAAGGATCTATAGTATGGTCGATGAAGAACTACAGCTTCCCTCTTTATGTTATGATGCCTCAGTCGGTAGAGTAGTCAAAGTCTTTCTTTATTAACAAATTTTTACCCAATCATTCATAATTATTCTAGTAAAGCATGTTAAATGTGTTGGAAACGTATACAATACCCTTACAAATAAATCAAATTTTCTAAACTTTGTGAAATGGGTTGTGAAAATTAAGGAAAAAAATTTAAGTTTTCAATATTAAATAATAAGGAGAAAATTAATTTCATTGGCAAAATTTTTATAAACTAATTATTTTTTTATAATTGTACATACAAAGTATATATATTTTTTATTTCATACACAATTAAATAAGTAGGTAAGTCATTCCAGAGAGCGTCTAAATTTTTTTTTTAATTTTTCATATTCTTTTACAAAAAGGATAATGAGACTGTGAGAAACAAAAAAAAAAATTTTAATTAGATTAATGAGGTGGAAGCTATATGCACCTACACACACATATATATGCGACATTACATACTTTTAAATTTATTTGTATAACTTTTATGGTGAATATAGCACAAATGGTTTTAGATGACGGTGATGTCAAGAGAAAGGGCTCCACTAATTATAATTTGATTTATATTTTGAATTGAAGTTAAAAAAAATGTGAGAGAGGCGTACTAATAAGACGTCTATGAAGAGAAAATATATAAAAAAAAAATTTAATTTATTTATTTCACTTCGTGTTCATCTGTAAGTCCTCACAGTTATAATGAACTCAAAAAATGTACATACAAGTATATAATTATTTCATTTTTAATGAATTAGGGAGATAGTGTATTTATACAATGTCGCTTTGTATTTCGTATTGCTGATAAGTAAATTATAATTAAAGCAAATAATGATAAAGCTTTACCTGTCTCCTTTAATTTTCTTAAAGTTTGTTATATTTTAGAAAGTTTAAGTGAATATTGGTTACGTTATTTGAAAAATTTTAATGAAATGTCGATCACATTTTCAATGGTATTTTGTATAAGATTTTGTTCTATGTATCATACGGTAGCCTGGTATCTTAAAGTACGAAAAATTCTATCGCCATTTTACTTTATAAAAAAGCAAACGTGGTAGTATTTGAAAATTTCACTCATAAATAGATTGTCGTAGATTTTTAAATATAATAAATAAATAAATGGGCTACTACCAAAATTCAGATCTAAATTCAACTTGATTTATTCAGTAATTAAACTTGTTAGACGCCCAATGTCTAGCTTGCTGAATACATTTTAAATAATTTGTTTTCTATTTTCGATAATTCCATATTAAAATAATTTTTTCATTTTATAAAAAAAATTAAATTGAATTTTTGAATAATTTTTTTATAATTTATATTTTTCTCTTCTATTTGTATAGCTCTTAATGGTGCCGGGAACGAAATTTTATTTAAAAGAGCTAGACATGTTATTACGGAAATAAAACGAACACTAGAAGCAGCAGAAGCATTAAAAAATCAAGATTTTGAAAAAGTAAGTATAAACATTTTAAGAATTTTTAAGATATGTAATACATAATATTAATATACGTACATATTATTAATAATTGCATACTTATAGGCGTTTATTGATTTATTTATTAACGATACAGTCATACAATAAGTTTAGTAAATTAAGTTTTATATGTGAGTATATTTTGGCTATCGCATGGATTGAAATTTAATATTTAAATTCGTGGTGTTAAAACAATGAGTCTAAAAATTTTTTGGAAAGATTAGGGCTCGACAACTGAACTGAGAGTCGATTTTACATTTTTTACTATATTTGCGGAACAGATTTATTGGGAATTTTTTTAAATTTGATATTTGAGTTCTGATTGTTACCGAAACTAACTTTAAAACCGTTTGGGATTTCGAATAGCACAAAGCGAAACCCTACTAAGAGCACTTTTTGAGGAATGTTAAATTAAAGTTTACTAACCTCCTTAAAATTTTATAAAGAAGTGTGTAAAACGAATTTTCTATATATTCTGTAATATACTAATAAATGTAATTGCATTGACAAAGGATATTAACTCACAAAGACATTGTTTAATAGAAATAGAGAACAATTTTTTCATATTGGAAGTCTTACCTAACCCCATATGTTCATATTATGATGTCTTCTGGCAGTATAGTTTCGAAAATAAATTTATATATGCGCATTTTGGACCTTTTAAACGCATTCGATTAATTTTTTTTTAAAAAAGCTATATTATAGAGCTTCTTTCTGTAACATTTTTCTAAATATTCCTCTTCTTTCCAGTAATGTGACTGCAATAATGCTGAGGTTTGATGTTCAATGGTTTTTAAGCTTAATTAACTCCTTAAATGCTCCGGTTTTATATTTTTTTTTGTTTAAAATTTAAATCAAATTATAATATTCTTTTTGTACTAATTTCTTCCATATACAGTAAATTTTCTTTACTGTATTCTACGCTACAGCTGGCTTAAGCTTAATCATAATATAAATGTATCAGAAAAGTCTTTGAACTATATACTAAGAAATATAATTGTGTTACTACATACCATCAAACTATATCGTACATACTATGTAATCATCATTTGAAATCAAATATTACATATGGCAATTATATTTTTCCCAAATTAATACTGTCACATATAATTAAAGTAATGAAAGCTTTTAATTACATGAAAAGTCATTATTATTATCATCACTCTTATATTACGTGAGAAGGACATGAAATATACATACATACAAGCTCATATATGTATAAGTAAGTGTAGTGATGTTATTTTAAATGTAGAATTTTTTTTCACTTTAAATGAAATTATAGACTTTCTATATAGAGTTTATTTACGTGTATAATAATTAATTGTACGTGTATTATTTTGTATATGTAATGAAATCAGTAAGTTTTTGATAAATAAAATTATTTATATATAAATTTAAGTATAAAACACTTTTGAGAAATACGTGATGCTTTCCTAATTAAATAGAAAACTAGGACATTTTTATTCCATATAGATTGGGTTGTTTGATAAATTTTTTCATTTATTTTGAATTTAAAGATGTTCAGGAAAATTGAAAAGTCAAAGAATTCAAACTGTCATTAAAGAAATAAATTTTGAACGCCATTTATATACAAGTAGTAAAAAATGAGAAAATGAGTACCCAATTTTTTCAAAATCATTGGCCGACTTTTTCCAAATTAGATGCCCAAAATTTAATTTTTGATAAGTTAACAGTAATTCTATAAATGCGAAAACATGAAAATTTTCGTTTTTTCTTTTTAAACGGACTGCTTGAATAAACCGGTTTTCAATCAAATTCGCGTCATCTCCCAAATATAAGTTTTTTGTTTGAATCCTTTTAATTTTTTGTTTCTTTTTCTTTTCAGATGGGTACATTAATGACAGAATCACATACTTCTCTACGTGATGATTTTGAGGTATCTTGTCGGGAATTAGATGTTTTGGTAAATTCAGCTATTAATTGTTCTGGTGTTCTTGGATCTCGTATGACTGGTGGTGGATTTGGTGGTTGTACGGTGACATTATTACGTAAAGATTCTGTACAGAGTGTAATGGAAAAAATGCAAGAAGATTTTGAGAAAGAATGTAAAAGTGATTCACATAAACCTAATAAAAACAATAAGAATCGACATAAAGTAGATTTTTATGTGTGTGAGCCATCTGATGGTACGAGAGTATTACAAGTATAAGGTCGAGTTTCTGATACTGTCCCACGCATTGTTTTAATAGGATTTTGGAAAAATATGACTTTATTTATTTTTTTTAATAAATTACAGTTAAATATTTCAAAGAGCTTTTATTTTTAATGAAAAATAAATTTTAATCATAAATATTATTTTGGTTAAGTAAAATTTTCTTTCGCGGTTCTTCTGGTTGGACTGGTTTCAAATGAACTTAAGATATTTATTAAAATAATAAGAGAAGGAGAAGAATAAGAAGTCGCACTAAAGAGGGTGAGTTTGTGATAATTTTTTTTTGATTGATTTAATTTCGTTAATGTGAGAATAAGGCGATGGTACTTGATAAGGAAGAATAATAAATGAGTATAACGATTTCAGAAGAGTAGCATTTGATAAATCCCAACATACAGCAAGTTTAATTAATGATATATATATGTAGTTATAATATGGTAATTAATCCTCGTCCATTGAATGATAATTTTACCGTTATTCAGCAAAAAGCGGTAGTCTTTGGCTTCTGGAAACTTTCCTGTCAGTAGAATTAATTAACGCTTCACTACACGCCCGTTAAACTCTAAATTTTAATAAAAAAGATGATGATCTTGGAGCTGAAATTCTTTGGTTGAAGGATCGATGTCGTAAAATACTTACTAGTGCAATATATAACTGCAATATAGAAAACATGATTTCATAAAACATTCTTTTCATTTTTTTTTGCATTTATTGCGCGTAATTTATGAGAGAAAACAGATTAACATTTCATCAATGTTTTAAAGTATAGTTTTTGTAATGTTTTGTGTTTTTTGAACTACTGTTCCAGCTAAACCTTCGACTTTCTTTTCTAGGTTGTCAACTGCACTCAAATTCACAAGCGGTTGAGCTAAAATTTAAGTATTTTTTTTTTATTAAACATAAGTATGTTATAAATCAAAGCAGGTACATACTACCAAATTTATCTGAAACTAAGCCTTGAGTATTTATTTGTGCTCTGATATTTCCTCCATTGGTATTAGCATCGAAGGTTGCACCGTTGACCTATTTTAAATAAAGAATATTTAAACAACTTTTTTTATGCGTAAAAATTATTTTTTTATAAAATTTTATTTTAAACAACTTTAAAAAGTCGAGAAAAATAGTGGATACCGAATGCAGGACTTCGATAACTGCAATATTCTTACAGCATGTCGAAATCATATAAAGCTGTTGGAGCTGTGAAAAATTTCTTAGCAAGACAATATTACAACTAAATAGTGTCTAGCTTGCTATTAATCTCGTAAGGATATTTGTGTTTAAAACAAAATTTTATTGATCTACCGCGCCCAATAAGTAAGGTATTGCGAGGATAACAAATTTTAATAGTCAAATTCTTAATAGAAATATAACCCGTAATAAAGTAGAATCCGTAATGAAGGGAGCAAATCAAGCCGTAATTTCATATGTATCTCGATTTCGCATTAACCTAATTTGATGAAGCTTTCTATTTGGGCTCACTTTGACCATGTGATGAGCTGAGTAGATTATGTGCTATAAAAGATGCTAATAATTGAATCTTTACTACAGACCAATTTTACACTATATCTAAGGAAGTCATTAACGTAAAGTATATTTTATCTAAGTTCGCTTACCAGTACGAAAACCATCATAGCAATGATGAATACACATAAACTCAATTTAGTCATTATTATTTGTTTATTTGTCCGATTATTTTTAATGAACTTTGTAAAGTTTTTAAACTATTCTTTGATAAATTTTAGTGCGAACATGTTCTTTATATATGAATTTCATTTGAATTAGTCTAAATTAATATTTTGATAGTTAATATTTCGGATCCTATAATTATGTTGCTAATGAAATCCTATGTCATGTTATTAAAATTATAGGTTCTACGATTATACCTATAGTTCACTGGTTGTAATTGTACAAATTATTGATAAATGATAGTCAATTTAATTAGAATTAAAATTTAATCGAAATAATCAACAAAATTTAATAATCTATAAATAATAACATAGGATTGGATTTATCTATACTAACAATCTTGAATTTAATAGGATTTTGATTCAAGTTTAAATTTAAATTTATTAAATATGTATGTATGCGTATTATAAGATTAAATTAAGAGTAGGTGTGTCAGAGTAAAAATATTAAAAAAAAATTTTAATTTAAAGATCAAGATTTTATTAGGGTCCTTTTCTTCTGAAGCACATACCCATGCAACAGCGTATGATTCAAAGTATAAGGTGTAAAGTGTTATTTTTAAATTTAAAGTAAAATTTTCTTTTTTTAATAAATAATTGCTTCGGTTAATTTTTTACCTCTTTTCCGAAAAATCGCTTATTAAATTCACTCTGTTCGTCCGTTCATGTTTACAAAACTTTTACGCCCTTGAAGATAGAAAGCTGAAATTTTATCCGTACATAATTCTTTACTAGAAAATGGCTTCCGTAGAAGAAAATTTTTACCTATCTTCAGCCCCTAAGCCCCTACACCTATCAACCTATCTAAGCCCCTAAAACACTACAAATGCCATTTTTTAGCTATTTATTACAGTGAAACTAATAAATAGTTTTAGACACTAATAAATAGTTTATTTCGTTGGAAGAAAATTTTTTTCCATCTCCATAAACTCTCATGTTATCGCTTCTCGAAATTTGCAGAATTATTAAATGTTAAAATTTTTGGCACCTCATATTTCGCAAATCGTAGCTTTTTTCTATTCTACTTCTATAAACGCAGAAACGTAACGGTAAGTTTCATGGCACTAAAAATATAATTGTTTTTCTTAACTCACACAATTAACACTTAAATTCAGGCATTGTGTTAACACCTCTATAAATTTAATTTTGCTTTATTTCAAAGAATGCATAAATCGCTCATCCTAAATATATGCTTGAAATAGTTTCGTATATGAATGAAAACAATTTTTTATAGTGTTTTCACTTGCTGAAGGGAAAAATGCTAAATTACAAACCATTGGTTTGACCCAACTTTATTTATTATTATTTTAATAATTTTAATGCTCTTATTGATTTCCGGCTGCTGTAAATTTTAAAATATTTGGTAGGTTCATTTATTAAATTTTCTGTAATTTTCAATAATTTCCATAATCACCAAAAATTTACTTTCAGATACACACAATGATACATTTGTGTTTGTAATAATATAGAAAACTATCATTGCATAATTAAAGTCACGTACATCCAAAAATTGAATTTTGCGTGAGAAGCCAAACATTTGGAAAAATTGGTAAAAAATTTTCAGTTTTACAAAATAATTTGGAAAAAGCACATTTTTTGGTTATAATAATTTTTTAAAATGTTTTATTGCTGATTTTTAATATGCCTTGATGAGGCTAAGAAAATCGAAAGATCAGTCATTGCTATGCCATTTATGTGTTCTTTAAATAGATTTATATAAATTTTTTGTACATTCATGTAAATTACAATTATACACTCGAATAATCCAGTCAATGTTTCTAATATTAATGAAGTTACTTTTTCGAAAGTTTTAGACGGAAACTAACAATGAAAAATTTAATATTTTTTCCTAAATTGAAATTGATGCTGGATTTTAGGTATTAGTAGGAAGCTTCATGTACTTTCAAAGAAAATAATCTAGAGGCGTGAAATCTTATAACTTAGACCGAACTTGTGCTCTTGCTACTCTTTTCAAGTTAAAAGTAAATGTTTTGTAAAATATGAATGCAAATATGAAAAATGTTTTGTAATGGAACTTAAAATTTGAAAAAAACAAAACTTACGATGCTTCACTTACACAGTCACTCGTTTACCATACATAGTATTATAAGCTGCCGAACTAATTGTATGTGTTCTTTCCAAATTAAGTCACTAATTATAGTTCAACGTATTTAAACAAACATAATTGTTTAGATAAAATCAGTGTCACAAAATTATTTCACAAAAAATAAAGTATCCATATAGATTCAGTTTAGTGTAATAAAATGCTAAAGGTGCCCTTCAATATTTTTTGTTTTCTAATTATTTTTAAATTTAACGTCATACGAGTATTTGGCTATTTACAAACTCCAAATAATGAGAAAATTTTAACATTTAATAATAAGCAGATAGAAAAATTAATGAGAGTGTTAGTAGAAAATGAAAATACGAAGAGTAAGGCGAAAAATATTTTAAAAAAATCGATTTCGGAAAATTGGATTCAAGTAATTAACCAAAGCAATAATAATGGAAAGGAGAGATTCCGAAGAGCAGAATCAAATGTCAAATTCTCAACAAAATGTAATGAAAATTCAACGAAACCAGTAATTAATTCAAAAGAAATAGAAGAAATGATCTGTTCTGAAAGTTCTGAGACACCGAATATTACAGCCGAAAGTTTTTGATTGGAAATGTGTATGGCATTAGTTGATTAGTGCATCGGATAAAGTTAGTATGTAAAATGTCATAAATTTTTTGGTAAATCTTGAAAATAACAGCATGTTTTTTTGAGGCATCTGCTATAAAAATAAAAATTGAAAATAACAATTATGTTGAGTTATCCTTTTATTCAAATTCTAGATTTGCATCTAAAAGGAAAAATGTTAAAAATGTCTACACTATCGGATTACATATAAATATACTGGATAACCTCATATTCATCTTAATAATGCATTGTGATCCATTTGTGTAAAGCAATAACTGAAATTCTAAGCCGTTGTAGGCTTAATGATTGTTGAAATTGTTAAAATTATATTTGTAAAAAATATTGGAATTTCTTGAGTTCATTGGCGCTTTACAGTTCAAAGTATAATTCTGGCACATCTCTATTAACTTGTGTTGGTATCTCGAAAATTATTACAATTCCATTTTTCTCTAAATTGCTGTTAATTGCTGTATTATTTTTATTTTTCAATTAATTTGAAATTTGTTCTATCGCTTTACTTATAAACAAATCATTCTTAACAAAATATTCCGAAGTAAAAATCGAAAAATGTTCCATTTGAGGGCGGAATTTTTTTCTGAGGCCATATGAAGAATATTTTGAATTGATTTGCTT